TGGTCGACAGTAAACAAAAATCGTAACCTTCAAGCTTGTTATGACAACAGATTGACTGAGGACAATGATTGAATTTGATAAAATGAAAATCCCCAGGAAATGTATTAGCGATTAGTGTGTTGGCGAAACTGAGCAGTCAATGTGAGGACCGACACGTCATTAGAAAAGCTATTTGAATAAAAATGTTGAACCAACAAATATATTGATAATTTCGGACAAACATTAAAAATGAGGCCATAAAAATCAGAAAATCGTTCAATAAAAAAATTTAATTGCGTTTTAATTAAATTATCTCTTGACAAAATGTTTGCAATTGCAAACGCAAAAAATAACTGGAAAATTCTAAAGATAAATAATATTTGTGAACCTTCTCATTTATCAGATGAGTCGAGGGGTTTAAAGCGAAAATAATGAGACTTTTATCTGCTACACAATGTCCGCTCTTGTTGTCATAAAAGACTTCGGCGATTAGATAACAGAACTTAATTACTAAAGTGTTGTTACGAAAGTCGAATGGCCACAACGAATTTACATTTTACATACGCAAAATGGTTCCAAACAAATTACTTAGATTGCGCGTATTTAATGTGTGCAAAAAACCATCCAGGGGATATAGAAATAAGCCTGATTTCACCAAGGCAAGTAAAATCGACAGAAACGTTTACGGCCAGTGAAAGTTGGTCTGTACCTATATATAAGAAATAGTTCCGACGCGTTTTCATTATAATCTATGGTGAATAATGCATTTGCTTTTCAGAACACTTATCAAGTAGAGAGAGGATTTTATAATTATTTGCAAGAACCGCATCTTCATTATTTCCAGAAAATTTTAGGTGACGATGAGCGAGTACTGACTAATCTCAGCGACCTCGAAAAGTATAATGTTGATTGGTACCAACAAGTACGAGGTAAAAAACACTTTTAAATGCAATTAGATAAAACCGCTGAATCACTTAGAAATGATATTGCACATTATCCTGTATAATCAAATATACTAGGAACATATTTTTTTAATACTTGGTAAGATAAGAATATCGTGACTCTGCTTTAAACGTTGTCTAAATATACAACAGGATGTTTAAACATCTCAAACAGTTCATAAATATGAATGCAAAAGCTATACTCAAAAATCAAAACAACGGGAAGCGATCAAGAGAAATTTAAACAAAATATACAATCAAAACGGCAATGCGAATTAGCAAGTTTTAGGATCAAGTGCTGTTGTTTTGAAACCGAAAACGACTGAAGAAGTGACGAAAATTGTCGAATATTGCAATGCTAACAAGCTGGCATTATGCACGCAAGGAGGAAATACAGGGTGTTCAGCGGGCGCAGTTCCCGTTTTTGATGAGATTATTTTATCCACCGAGCTGATGAATGAAATCATCGAAATTGATGAAAACGCAGGTGAGATAAACGGTTATTTTGAATTAAAATAAGCATTTTTCATTCATATACAGGGTGTCCGGTAATCACATATTCAAAAGGGCAGTGCCACGTTCTTTGTTTAAAATCATCAATTGGCAAGAAACTAGGAATATTTTTTTTGCGCAAAAACTATAAATGCTTCAAATTTTTACAGTGCACAAAAATTGAAAAAAGTGCATACACTCAAAAAAATCAGTTGATTCCAGAGGCCAAATAAAAAAGTTCTGGTACCTTTCGTACCAAGAGATTCAAGAATTTCTTACTTGCCCAAAGAGGATGCACTCGGTTGCTTCATCAAAACATGAGTTTTTCTGGTAAAAATTAGGCCGGATCGTCTCCTTTTAAGCCAAAGAATGATCATGTGCTTACGGGACACTTTGCATATCTAGAAAAAGTGTAAGTACCACAACATGCCTAAAACTCATCGTGAAAGTGGCGAGTTCAATCATACTAAAAGAATTCGTTCGAAATCGTAGTCGTCCTAAAATACGTTCCAGTCCTTATTTCATCTTCTCAACACATTGAGAACGACACCTTTTCAAATCAAACAGCCTAAATAACTAAACAACTATATTAATTGTCAGGTACGATACTGTGCCAATCAGGCGTAATATTAGAAGCCCTAGACCGTGCCGTATCCGAAAAAGGGTTGATGGTACCGCTTGATTTAGGATCAAAGGGATCATGTAATATTGGGGGAAATGTTTCAACCAATGCTGGAGGCTTGCGTTTACTCAGATACGGCAATATGCATGGAAACATTCTGGGCCTTGAAGTCGTAAGTAAAACTGTGGCAATTTGCAGTAAAAAAAATACCAACAGTTTCAATATTGGCTTACGTAACAGGTGAAAGCAAACGGCGAAGTTCTGGATTGCTTGAAATTAATGAGAAAAGACAACAGTGGATTGCACATCAAAAATATTTTTGTAGGCTCTGAAGGGACATTGGGAATCATTACCAAAGTGGCCTTGCAATGCGTGCCCAGGCCCAAGAGCCAGCAAGTCGCTTTTTTAGGTATAGAGATTAGGTTTCAAACTAATTGGTTAATTTATTGAAATCTTACAGGTCTGCAATCATACGAGAAAGTGTTGAGTACAATGAGAAAAGCCAGACAAGAACTGGGAGAAATCCTTTCAGCGATCGAGGTGATGGATGCAATTTCCCTGGAATGGGGCCAACAGCATAATAAATTAACTCTGCCCATCGACAAATACCCGTTTTATTTGCTATTAGAAACATCCGGCAGTAATGAAGAACACGACAACAATAAATTAAATTCATTTTTGGAATCAGCTTTAGTCCAAAACCACGTTTTGAATGGTGTAGTCACAGGGGAACCATCCAAAGTACAAGTAAGTAATCAAAACCTTATAGCTGTGTAGTTGGGCAAATCGATTCGATTTTAGGCAATTTGGGCAATAAGAGAAAGACTCCCAGAGGGATTTAAAAACCATGGATGGCTAGGATTGTACGATTTATCAATCCCAGTTACACAATTTTACAACTTGGTAGACGAAACAAGGGCATACCTCAAAAATCAAGTGGAATATGTGTTTGGCTTTGGGCATTTAGGTTTGTAAAAAAACTGACTCACAATGTACGTTTAGAACACTATAGGAAAAGGTTTGGTTTTGAAATTGTAGGTGACGGAAACATCCACCTGAATGTGCTAGGAAAGAAATACAACAAACGCCTTGCACAAGACCTGGAAACATTCCTAATGAAAAGGGTATTGGAGTTGAAAGGAAGCATGAGCGCTGAACACGGTTTAGGATTCCTTAAGAGAAAATATCTGCCAATGGTAAATTCACCGGGTTCCTACCAACTTATGAAGGAATTAAAGAGAATACTCGACCCTAATCATATATTAAATCCATACAAAGTATTTCCATAAGCCCTCACTTTTATGTTAACAACTGCGAATAAAACATTTACACAGAGAGCGATATTTTAAGATTACTTACGAAGTAAAGGCTTAGCGGTGTCCAATAACATGTAGAAGGTTTTCCCAAATGATCCATTGCTATCGACTATGGCCACATTTGGATTCCGCATGTTCTTGAATGCCTGCAGAATGCTGAAAGCGAACAATGATTTACAGAAAATACCATAAAAATGAAACATTCCACTCACTCCTCTCGGAACTTTGCATTAGCTTTCAGCAAATGTTCCTGTTCAGTCACCAAATCTGCACTTCTTCTGGAATGTCGCTCTAATCGTATCTCTTCGCTCACAGTCAGAAGAATCACTTTTTGAGGCTTTAAAAGATCGACAGGCCATTGATAAATCTCATCGGTAGCATCAGGCAGTTTGTAACGTTCAGGATGATCGGCTATTTTCTGAGCTATTGCATAGGCCGTAGTTGAATGCCAAAACCTAGGAAAACAATTTTGAATACTGCAATGTACATAATAGTTTTGTTTTAGTTTTTACCTGTCCATTACCACAGGTTTTTCTTGCAAAGTGCAGGATACTTCCATAGCAGCTATGTAGTTTCCCAAGGAGTAGTAGGCAGTTCTCAGTTCGGAATTGTCATTAAAATAATCTCTTAGTAAGTTGGTAGATTCTGGTGGTGTTACGTATCTTGCCCCTTCTAACTTCTTCGATAATTTTTTCGACATTGCTGTTTTGCCTGGAAAGTGAAAATTAGCTTAAATTAGCTAGCTACGTTTAACTCATTTCAAAAGTTCTTGCACATTCAATCATTATTTGCTTGCTTAAAATAATACAGGGTGTTTCAAAACTGGCGTCAATCGTCAGGGATAATGGCACAAGGTGACCGTTTGCACCAAATTTTGTACCAATGTTGTTTTTAACAAATAACATGAAAAGTATAATAAACTGATGAGACGTTTTCAATTCAATCAATATAGGTTTTATGCCCTTAAGGGAGAAGAATTGCGGATGATACCCATTTAACGGAAACCTCTAATAATCCGTTATCTTTCAACGCTTGATTGGATTTTTCGAGCAGTTTTGTTGATATATGCAGTTTTAATCCGCGCGGATTAGTGAATGAAAACGATTTTGGCTTCTATGTCTTTATATGGATATTAAGGAATTCTCTCTAAATAGATAGCTAGTCGCAAAGGTCATTTCGACTATTCCGATACAGGTAGTATGTAAATATAAAAAACAGTTTTGGAGACGTTTTTCCACTTTTTAACGCTTCAAAGGGGCGAAGTCGTGGTGGGATAATTTTTTTATTCCATAATAAATTTCAACGAAAGCTCTTTTCAAAAGATCCTTACCATGAATGCGATAGTTTGAGCCGTTTTTAAGATCCGCTCTAATTTTGATTTTTTGTATTTTGCACCAAAACTAGTAATATTCTTAAAATGATGTTTAGTACAAAAAAGTGCATTTTAAGGTTTTATCCAGCAACGGCAACCATAGCTTTGCAGCTCAACCGATTCTCTAGATATGAGCCAAAAACTAAGCGCGGTTTTCAAGATTCGCTCTAATATTGAATTTTCGCATTTTGCGAGAAAACTAGCAACATTCCTAAAGTGATATTTGATATAAAAAAGGGGCATGTTAGACTCTTTCTCGCAATGGCAAATAGAGTTTTGCAGCTCGGTTCTCGTAATATGAGCCAAAGAGCAAATTAATCCCATTCAATTCCATAACATCATGTCTTGATGCAGATTGACAAAAGTTAAATGTGACTTAAAAACGCTCTTAATATAGCAAATATTAATAAAATCTTCTTCTTAAAAGTTCTTGATGTAAAGCGTAAAAATCAAAAAATATTTTCCACCTTGGACGGTGAGCTTGGAGAGCTGACGGGTTGCCAAGAAGTTAGGCCTGCCTCTATCCCATGCAACGGTTTGTCCGATGATACGAAAGTGTTTCTATTGGTTGGAGATCTGTCAATTCATCCGTCGTCGTACAAATTGTCAGCCCTCCAACCAATAGAAACACTTTCGTACCATCGTATCATCGTACAAACGGATGCATGGGACACGGGCTTTATATAATGATTTGAGTGTTTCTATTTGTTCGAGATCTGTCAATTCGTCCGTCTTCGTACGTACCAACAGATCTCCAACCAATAGAGACACTCATATTATCGTATAAACGAATGCATGGGCTTTATGCCTCTTTTTTGGCGCACCGTATATATAAGAGAGAGAGAGAGAGAAAGCACTCACTTTGGAATATTTTCTGATTGATCAAACATAACGACTTTATCTCATCTTGCTCAATATTGTGCAAAAACGCCTTAAAACTATGTATACCTGCTCCATCCAATCCTTCCAGCACAATTAATGGAAATTGCGCTTCTTTGCGCCGCTCATCGGCCCTTGTCTTTGTTTCATCATAAATCTTGAGAAGTTTTCGAACCGGTTCAAGATCTTCATACTGGAATTGACATTTTCACATATACAATCAAAGTTTGATTCTATGTGAATACTTACTTTTGATAAATACTGCAATATTTCTCTTGAATCCTTGAAAAGACCGAAATCAGCAGATGAATTCATTTTTGAGTTTAAGCCGAACAGACTTCGGGCGCTGTGTTTTGAAGAATTAAATAGTTTTTTGACGAATACGTGAATCATACAAGATAATATTTCTTCGACGCCCAATTTCAGTAAATCACCGATTGCTCAGTTTCGCCAACCAAAAACATCAACAGATTATAAATTTTCCAACAAAAAACATCATAATTTTTTCTTGAATCAACCACAGACTACATACTATTGGAATTGGAATCAACCTATTTGACAACTCCCAGGCCTGCACACATTTAAAGCAGCACAATTCCCTGCACACATCAGGCGATATGCGTGCCTGCTCGCTTTGCTCCAACGTTGAGTACGAACGCATACGCGCCTATTTTTAATCGTATCAGACCATAACGAACGCGATGCCCGCATTTACTTGCGAATGTGCGGATTTTTTCAATGATTTATTTATTTATAAATATCAAGGTTTCTTAGACAACAACTAGCAAAACTGAAAATTCTAAACTACATTAGCTCATAAAAAATATAAAATATTCAAAATTTAAAAGTGTATTTTAATTTAAAATAAATTATAATACAAACAATTATTATGGTATAATATAGGCTTATATTTTAAGCATTGTTTAAATGAGACATATTTCAATCATAATTTAAGTATTAGTTTCCATCTTTTCTATACTGCTAGAATTACAAAATTGTATACAAGAGGAAACTAATTTCGAATTGTATCATTATAAATCGGGTGGAGAAAATAAATAACTGTGCATTTACAAGCAAATGAACCTTGGTGAGTGAATATTATTTGGTTCTGCAGAAAGTCACAACAAAACTTAACTGAACAGTTTGTTTTGAACTCATATGTAATAAAAATATATGTACATAACAAAAGGCAATCTAAATTGAAACTAATTAACAAGAAAAATGGCATCGCTCTCTATATATGTATAATTAAAGTTAGACGATAGAGGGATTTCGTTCCCTTTCGCAGGGTATGTACACAAAAAGAGAAAAAAGTTAAATTTCATTATGACTTATAAATTGTCTCTTATGTTTATAATTACAAAAAAATATCACAAAATAAACAAAATCGACGTCCGTTTTATTTCAGCTAGTTATTTACAGATCAAAGACATTTCATATGATTAACTACTGAAAATAATTTGCTTGTCAAACAGTATGCGCTTTCAGTTGGAACAAGAGGGGCCCAATGAAACGCCGGTAATACAGAATTAAATGTATATACAATGTCTAGCGAATGGTTGCTTTTGATTGGGCTTCGACTGTAGAAAGGAACAAAGGGGCAAAATGCATCCCGTTTAATATAAAACTTGAAAAAATGCTTCAGTATATACGTACATATCACATTCCTGTATTCAGAGAAAGATGCCGCACATGAATCACAGTTCTATATATGAAAAAAACCAATGCTACTACTAGAAATTATACTAGATCTTCGAACTAGGTAAGTAATGTTATAAGTGCTTAAATACAACGTGAAATTAAAGTTAGGGTTGCATATTACTTGAAAACAATGTTCTATGAGTTGTATACTGAAGCCGTTAAGACTCGGGAAACCATCTAATTTAATTATGTAACACGTCCTGTCTTCAACGGCTTGAATATATGATTTAGGGACGAACTTATGTGGAGTACGCAGCGTGTTTTTTAATGTGAAAGCTTTAAAGTTGAAAAGTTATAGTCTTTATAGTAAGTAACAAACAATCGTAGTATCACAAACTGGTTTTCTTTTACCTTCTCTACACCCCAACATATGCACAGCAAAAATAAACACTTGTCGAGCGCTAAGGTTTTTAACTTAAGCGAAAATACTAAACAGCATCTCATTGCCACACGTTGAGGACCGTTAAAGCATTTTCCGATTCGCGGCAATGACCGACAATTACAATAGAGGCGAAGAAAATTTGTTTGACCTACACTTTTTTTTAAAGTACTTAAAACACAGTTAAATAAATATCTTTTCCGACATCATCGAACGCAGACTGATTTATAAATAGGTAACTGGGGAGATATTAATTATACACTCATATATATGTCGTCTATACAATGCCGAATCCTGTGGTTTAGGTTCGAGCTTTTGATGATTTCAGGAACGTCATATGATAATTGATCTACACTTGCTTCCATCTAAAAAGAGACGCAATTTGTTTCACTAACTTTGCTTAACACCCTTTCGGGTTCCGCATAATGATCGTTAAATAATTAAGTCGTTTCCAAATTCGTATTAGTATTTACTTGAAAACGGCTGAAGATTGGAGATACTAATAGAACATTGTGGTAACACACGAACACTTCTCTGAATAGCATAGAGATGAACATCAGAAATATAGAGAATATAGAGGGAGTTTTTGCTTTTTAGTACAGAACAGAAGAAACAATTATGACCTGCATAATGGCCTAGCCCAAGTCAGAGCTCTCGACATTGTTGCTAAAAAGAAAATTTAATGCCTACCTTAAAAATAAGACTGTGGTCAGTTATTCATAACAACGTTTGTTCATCACTGACGTGACCGGTATCTTCTTGCGATTCAGGATCTTCAGCTCCTTCGTCTTCGACCTGTTCGACGTTTGGTATTAGCTCTAGTGCTCGTTCAAGCGTTTTCTTTGCAGTATTCGATCTTTCTAGATTATAACCGTTCGAGTTTTCATTGCTAGCGGTCGGAGGCGACCACGTATTGTAGGCGTACTGAGAGTTTTGTGGATATTTTCGGTCTAGTTCGTCTTGAAGCCATGTTATCGCCGAAATCCACGATCTATAATCAATCACCGTTAACCAAATTCATTCCACTGAGGAATTTTCCAACTCTTACCGTCTGATGTCAACGTGACTTAGTAACACATTTTGAGCCAAATGGCATTTAGTGAATAAGGCAACCAAGCACTTGATGCATTGATATGCTCGTTTCTGATAGTGACTCTTTGCTCTGACAATCGTTTCTAGAATCCCCTCTCTTTCATCTGGTATTCCCGTTATGGCGGTGATGATTCTCTGCAATTGCCAGGAATCTTCAATCAGCAACACTGACATCAGTATTTCGTTATGGTGCCTCAGCTCTTGGCAATAAGCAAACGCAATTTGCCACAACAACTCGGAGAGAACACTCTTGGAAAATTCTGGGTTTTCCCATGAACAGAACTGTATAAGCTTGATTGCCTCATCTGTGAGATTTTGGTCTTCGATAACTTTTTTGATAAACCTGTAAATAAACCGATTATGAGAGCAATTGGTGCACATAATATTGGGACATTCGCTACCTGGGATCTTTGAAGAGGAGGTCTGCATCTTGCGGAGAGATGGGCATTATGTAGTCAGGTATTGACGTGTCCCTAAAGGGATTAGGCAAAATTGGGCTTGGAGCTGAACTCGACTGGCATTTCGAACTAACATCACAGCAACGGATTAGACACGATACAACTTGAGTAAGTTTAGTTAACTCAGTGTATTGGTATTTGATGGCCGGTCCGGGCCCTTCGTCTAGGGCAACTAACATAAAGGTAGAAGGCACGTTAAGTCGCAAGAGCTGTGCTTTTTCTTGAATGCCTGAAAACAGATGAAATACCTAAGTAAAACGGACATTTGCATTGCATTTTAAATTTTCTCACCCTGACTGGCATACGTATGAAATACTGTGCAGTAATGGGGGAAGTGTCGCCCATGTTCGCTTACTTCGCGCTGCAACAGCCCCAATAACGCCCATATTAAGTGATCACTTAAGGTTGCATTAGGATCCGGATTATTGATTCCAGGCGGACAAGGACATGGAGGGTCCTTAATTGAAAAATGAGCTAATAAAACGACGATTTTTATAAACGCCGATCGAACTTCGTTGCTCGGACAAACAAGCAGGTATTCAGAAAATCTGTTCATGTGATTAAACAGCATATTTACACCAAACCATGTCCTTATTGTGGCTGAGGTTCTGAGATGTAAGCACAACACGTCACACCTGCAAGATATTTATTTAAAATCCTGCAAATAAATTATTTTTAATACCATACCAGTCCATTGCCGGGCCCCTAAGATTTTTCTTTGTATGCCAACCAGTATGGAACAGAAAATTACTAACCAGCTGAACACTCAGCAGATATTGTTGCTCTAAAAGATCATTCGAAATGCTCTGGTTATGTCTGAGATTCGTTTGAGCGCAACTAGTGGCTAACTTTCTGATAAAGGCGAAGTATTCCAACGTGAACTGACTTCGATGATGCAAAAACTTAATGTTTTGCTTCCGTATACTATTTTCTATCGCTATGGGCATTTTTAGATGGGTTTCTCGTTTTGATAAAGCTGAAAAAAATTGCACGTTATTCTACATATCATCAGTATCATACCGATCTATACTTACACAGTGTAACTTGACTGAGAGATTTCATCATCGATTCTTCCTCAACATCGTGCCGAGTGTAAAATAGCATATAAGCATTCCACCATCGTTTTTGTCTTCGATATGTGGTTCTTTTTAACATTGGATCAAACATTTCGCCCATATATTCACCTCCAAAGCATTGACCTTTCATTTCCTCATCTTCTCCCATTCTACATTCAGAAACGTCTCCGTCATCGAATTTGTACCACCTTACTTCACCCGATGGATCACGATGCCTAATGTAAGAGTAATAATGTCCCCCTAAAACGATATACAATCATTAATTGAGTGCAAAAAATTTAATCAGGAATTATTGAGACGAATGTAAATTTGATGTGATTTAATAGAACCTCACGAGATATATGAATACCACTGACCATGTAAATGGATCAGATCAGAGATAACTTGAATGGATTATTAACAAGATCCGGGCATCAGAATCCTATACCAGAATCGTTTAGATCAAAAACTGAACTATGATTAATGTAAGTACAAGCGAAACCTTCGAGTTATATGAGAATGTCATAAATTCCATTTATGAAGCAGCAACAGAAGCTTTAGAGTATGAGAACACAAATGCCAGGAAAAACTATGATTGAATACAAAAAATGGCAAAGATCACAAACTATACAAGGGACACCTGTGCCAACCTGAACTGAAATGTGATGTGTATTCGGTAATGACAAAAATATTTCCTTATTAGTATCTAATTATTAAGGTCTTACCTGATGCTTGGCCAGAATGTACAACAATGCCAGATAAACGATACTTGGTACAAACGTCACTATTGCTAGGATCTAAATCACAGTCTATAATCTCTCCTTCGATTTTGGCTAAGCCAGAAACAGTATAAGGCTCCATGTCCAGTTCCCTGGGAAACTCGAAGTAATCGTTAAATTTAATGGCACATACTCGTTCAAAATCGTATTCAAATCGCTTTAACTGAATCGCTAGAATTGGTGGCAGTTTCTTAACGCACAGACGCTTGACGGTAACGACCTTTTTCGCGCATTTTTCACAATGATAAGCATCCGCTCCTTCTAACAGCTCCCCTGAAAGTCCATTGAGAACATTAGAATAATTGCAAAAATTCAATTTCCTTGTCGGTACCTTTGACATACTGTTCCATCGAATCCGGCAAACTGCTATGATTTCTTATATCTACACTTATAACACTAAAAGGTTCTTCTTTGGAATAACGATGTGGACAGCCTTTGCAAATTTTCTGGTCCGAATAGGAGCCTCCTAAGATTTTCGACATGATCTGCTCATGTCCTAGCGTTTTCAAGGCCTCATCCAAACTTTCGACTAGAGACATAAAGAATTCGACAGCATCCTGCTGTTCCCTTAAATTGACTGGTTCTCCTGAATAAAATCGCCATTTAATTATAAACTCCAGTCACAAGTGCAGCAACAACACACTCACCTTGAAGCTTAAAGTGTCTCCAAAGTCCGCGAGGAATATAATATTGGAGACGAGAACATGCTAAATGCCCAAAAATTGCCTGCACCTGAAAATAATAAGTATAGTTATGATAGTTTCAAAAAAACTTAAGCAGTCAAAACAGTGAAAAAAGTCATCAATTGCACACATACTTGTTTTAATATTCCAACATTATAATCCTTTCTGTTGTCGTCTACGCAGTTCCTGTCGTCTGGGCAATCTATGTCCAACTCAAATCGTTCCTCGCCAGTAAAATCCTCGTTTGGATCAGTCGCAGCACCTTCAGCCGCTAATAGTCCTTGTTTGATGTTTTCTACCATGTATAACTGTTGAAGTACAGAATTCATGTAGCAAGTGGCACCTGCGTTTTTCAATCCGACAAAACCCCGAAACGGTCGGGGCCCCACAGCCGGTAAATGATCCCAGTCTGGTATAGCGGAATCTGGATCTATAATTTTATTTTAATAAGCGCCATTTTTCTCAATAGAAAACTTACCAGAATAGAACATTTCCGTCAACATAGCAACCAATTGCTTGTAATTAGGAACGCAATTGTAGCACAAGGAAATGAGCAAATCGAAGGCGGCCGCCTGGGTTTGAGGTGTATCACATACCGGAATAGCCGGATCTTCCCCCAGTTGCTTGGTTTTTGCCAGCTGCAGCTGCAATTTGCTGGCGGGAAACAGGAAATCTTCGAGTAGCTCGCGAATTAGACTTCCAGACTCAGCACTGCCCAGCTCGCATTTCTGAGCAGGAGTCATAAAGTTCAGCAGTTCTCTTGCCAAGCCCAAATGTCCTTCGATAAGCACTTCATTCTTATCGCGTGCTTTTCTAAGCCAGGTGACCTAAGAAAAAGATAAATATTAAGGCCTTTATTAAAGATTGTTTTATTGTTTGAAGAAACCTACCTCATTAGCCAGTAAATTGACGGCATTATCTAGAGGACAACTGGTTATATAAGCAACACTGACTAATCGGCACAAAAGCTGGAAATATTCATGAGCATTATCGGCATATTCTAAAACCATTGTGTCTAGCAAAGAGAACAAAAGGGGCATTATATGCTGAAGGGCCAATCGACTCGCAGCGCCACAAGTGCAAATCACTATTAGCTGTTCAGCGGCTGCAAAACGAATTGCACAGTTCGGATTGATTAGAACAAGATCCGTAATGTAGTACGGCCACCTAAACAGAAACAGTCTATTAAAAGACAGTTCATAAAAAGCTACGTTAAGATGAACGTTTTTTGCAAAACTTTAATCCAACCAAAGGGTTTGACCTTATTTTAAATATAATAAAATCAGAAGCACAACAATGGTAAACTGCATGTTGGACTCTTACGAAACAGAAAGGAATCGCACACAAAAAAAAACTCATTTTTCTAGGTCGACTTGAGCTTAATAAAATCAGGAAGACTTATTCATTCGATATTAGCAGTATAACTTACCAGCTATCTTGATACAAATGTTCCAGACTGCCAGAATTTAACACCACTGCTGTGCTAAGCAATTCCATAGCTTCTTTACACAATAGGATATCTTCACCCTCCAATTCCCCGTGAGAATTTAGCTTTGCAGGCTCTGACAAAGAGTGTAAAGTTTCTGGAGACGAGTTTAGCTCGCCTAAATGATTACTGCTTGCGGCCCAGATGAGTCGAACCAGTGCGAGCATAGTGGGCAAGTCTGGTAATTCCCAATTCAGTGCCTGGCTGAATAATGCTTGGGCTTGTCCAGAACTCCCAGTCTCGGACACCATCAGTTGGGCTAAGCCTTGAGATAGTTTCATAGCTACCTGACGTAGCAACTGGAAAAGAAAAACCAAATTATTTCCATTCCAGGGCAGTCAATCATGGATACCATTACGTACATAATCTGAATGACCGGGCACAGATCTCAATGCTTGACTCAAATGCATTCCCGGCGTAAGGATGGTCTCGTTGTATGGTTCATTTTCTGGCGGTGTATGATCTTCGCTTAGTGTTACCAGAACATGAGCCAATGATGTTAAAATTAGCTTGCAAATCTTCATAATCACTAAATAAGCGGATCGTCTAGTAAAATTGTCTGCATTACACATAAAGTTGTTCTTCGTAAACATTTCTAAAAATAAATGAGCTTCTCCAGATGTTATGAAAGTGTATTGAAATTCAAATGTCTTGTCGGAGAGTGTGTCCATCGCGGGCATCAACATCGCATACAAAACCTCCAAGTGATATAAAACCTAAAACATATATTTTTCCAGAAAGTCTATGTAAGACTGTTCAATAAAGTCACCTCTGAAGATGACGCACGAAAGAAAGTGTTTTCCATTGACATATTTGGCTCCGAAGGCCCAGTAAAAAGAAGCTTTAGAATCTCTATGGTTCGGCTATCGCAAGGTATAGTTCTCAGCAAGGCATGAGCGCTGTTTCTTAAAGCAGGCGATTCCAACTGACTGCCCAAGGCCATTAAGTTACAGAAAAATTCGGCGTATATGGGATTTTGAGACATTAAAACACCTGGCAAAAGACTCTCGACATCAATGTTCGGGCCATCATACAAGTGATGTGGTGATGAAGTTGAACTATCTGAACTACTATCTTGAGACGAAGCCATATTTGAATTTAGCTGAATGACTTTTGCGGATATTATCTAAAAGAATACGCATTAGCACCGCTGTAGTCAATTGCAGCTTTAGATGGCTTACGGTTTTGTCGCGAATAGGTATCTGAGAAAGTAGCTTTCGATCGTCAGTTGGCTCAAGAAGTTCACCATTTAAATACAGTTCCAGCTTACAATGCAGGCCTGGCTTTATAAGCCTCAGAATTGTCTTCCTCAGAGATGACAGCGTGTCGTTCGAGTGAGTATGAAGATCCATATCATCAACTTGTCGATTTAAACTCGAGAACCGAACTATAACCGTTAAATATTTTCCGTAGCACGCTCTAAAACCAAACAACATAATTAACTATCAATAAAACAAGTCGGTGTTGAATACATTATTTACCTGTGCAAAGGCAATATTCTTCTTTCTCCCACAAACGCGTTATCACATTCGCTTATGTATTCGTGCAAAACCTTCATTACTCTGCACATTTTCACAGCCTCAGCTTGTATCCTATTTGGTATTTGATTGTTGTCAAGCTCTTTATCTGTCGGCGACTTTTGCAGAATAGTGACGGTGTCATAGTGCGCCCTAAGTCTGTCGTAACACTCGCCGATATATTGCAAGTGAAAATCTACTTGATTCTGTAATAATTTTGGCCCCAAATTAGTGCTAACTTCTCTGAGGAATTCAATCGCTCTGGCCGCTATTTCATCTGGACAAAGAGTCACCACCTAGAAAAACAATTTCCATAAGAACTTTTGCATAACTGATTATCGTTTGATGGACTTGCCTTCCATAAATAATGAATTCCAATCAAATCGGGATCATCCGTCAAGATGGTTCTTCGTTTCATCTTCAATTTGCCTTCTTTAATATTAACAGCCTTGAAAAATCTTTCAAAACAGCGTATGCCGCTTTCGGTCAACAATAACGGATCTATTTGCATGATATTATTTTCGAAAAAGTCCTTATTTATGCCAGGATCCAAATCAGGTTCCTCGCCCATAAGTTTGGAAAACCAGCGAAAGCATGCTTCGCGATCGGACGGAAAGACCGCGTTCTCGGCTAAGCATTGCCAGATTTGCCTTGCTTGATCAGCACATAGCCACAATTGCCCATCCTTCAAGAGGAATCTGGAAATATAATCAGCCTTACTAATTAGTTAGTTTAAAAATGTATATATTTACCTTAGAAAATTGAGCCGTTCTTGCACTTGAAGCGCATGACAATACCTCCCATCAGGCACATAGGTTTCATCGGTTAAATCCGGCCTTTCAGTGACCAACGGTCTTAAGTGAGCCATGTAAGTTGTAAGACTATTCGCCACCAAAATGACTAGAGAGTGTTGATTTTGGAGACGTTCTATTACCTCTTGGCGGTAATAAATGTGATGCGTACGCTGCGGATGTCCTCCATTCGGATTCTGCTCATAAAGCGTACAAATTTCGCGAATCTGCTTCAACGCTGGTAACACCCAAGTGTCGCTAGTTTTAAGTTCGTCTACACACTTGTCCAACCATACCTAGAAACCAAAGCTCAACAGATGCTGCAATGTAACATTTAGAAAACCTGCATACTGTTTTTTGAGCATCTCTCTCTTGTGAGCAACTATAGTCGAGAATTTTCACATGGGCCGCCAATGCTTGGTCCATAATTTCAGTTGTAACATCCTCTGCGTGGGCGAGATTCCAAAAGAGAGTCAGTACTTTGTGTGCCATCAGACCATCTTTATCATCTTCAGCAAGTCTTCTACAAATCCCACACATAGTTGTAGAATATAAATTTAAAAAGTAAGAAGTCTTTGGAATTCAGCGAACACACATAAATTAGTACTAACCTGATTAACTCAAGAAGTCTTTCGCGTTGCCTTTTCGAAGCTGAAGTCCAGCTGTTTTGAAAACACTCAAACAGATGGTCCAATTGTTCAGCACTGAAGTCCCATGCTAATTTAGCCAGAAGATCGTGCACATTTTTCACAATGGCCTCGTGTTTGCCAACTTGCGCAGCCCAAACAGCATCGAGATCGCCAAGGCTTAGAGCCTTCTCCTTAATAACGAATCTCAATATTTTCTCCAATTTTTCCACATATTGAGGCTGGTGAAGGGAATCGCGCAATACAATTTCCAGAACTTTGTTATCGATAATCCATTTCTGAAAAAAATAATCGCTTTCAATAGACAATTATATTCCTAATGGACAGACGGGAGACATCAATGTATATTTTGCCCAATTTTATTTCGTTGTTAGATTATAAATAAATAGTTAGAAGCAGTTAGTCAGTAGAGTTTAATTTAGCATATAAATGACCGTTAAACGGCTCAAGATGGATTACACAAAGCAGAATTTAATGAAAAAAAAAATTTACTATTACTTTCATCACTAAATTTATTAGTTGGCCTCTGAATGATTCAAAGATATTACGAGAGAATTATTGAGCTAAAAAATGGAGAGAAAATTATTTCATTAATTACATTTTCAATTGAAGACGCCTGTAAAATTTTTAGCTTAAAAACTAAACTGTTTTTATCCCTATTATTTCAAATTGACTCTAATATAGGATAGAAACAATAGCATCTAACGAAAAAGTCGTTTGCGAATGAGGAGAAATTTTTTATTTTAAAAAGCTCGCAAATAATCGAAAAACTCTTTGTGACTTAGTGCGAAAAATTGGCTGTAAAAACTAAAAAAAAAACAGGTAAGAAAACTGAATACACGCTGATGTAGTAATTTGCGATCTATTTTACTCATATACGATATTCAAAGAACCTGGATTTTGTGATCCACAAGAAGCTTTAAATTGGTAAATTAAATTTATTAATATTCTAAAAAGCGCTTAACATATTTTAATAAAACTTTGCAGGCTTTGAGAGCATTATTGCGTGTTTTTTTGATAAAAATGCTGTTTCACTTTCACCAATGTCAGTGGCGTAGACTCAATCATGTCAATGAACAATTTTCTATGAAAAGTAATGCGCCACTGATTCTTCTGAAAACCTGTTTTAATTTTACTGTTCATAGTATTAATTCATTAGTATACTGTTCACTTAAAATTGATCTGACGAATTCTTAGTCCTGAATGGATACGTTCGTTTATTTACTTATTTAAATGCATGTTTACACGTCAATAGAATGTAAAAAGATACAGCGCAAAAAATCGCGAAAGATCTTTTACAAGTACCTATATAAAATCACTGTTTAGATAAAAAATAATTTGGATCACTTACCGCCATCCTTTCTGGTGTTAGATATTCTTCTTCCTCTATTCCATGATGTCGATTTATGTAATAATTTACACTAGATATAACTTTGTTAATCTCATTAAGGGCGTTCATTTTGCCATTAAAACTGGATATTTGCAATTGTCTTAATATCATTGTCAGCCGGAATCCTTCCAATGTTCTAATCAACTCCTCTTGGTCAGGTACTCGAGATGCTACATTTTTCGCTGATCGAATAATTAAGGAGACTATGTCGCTTTTCTGTTCATTTTTCGCTTCTCGCTTAAGCTCCTCATCGGTTAGTTTTTCCAGGATACCTGGTACCATTTCCTGAGAAGAACAATAAGATGTCACAGAAGCATGTAGTTAAGAAATTGTTTGGGAAACTTACCAATACTGGAAGGGCATACTTGTGAATAGTATGAGGTGTTAAAAATTCATAACAAAGTCCAAAAGGGGTTAAGAGGGCATATACAATAGAGACACTCAGATTTTTTCCTGTTTGAAATCGCTCGAGCAAATTCTGAAATCCTCCAAGCTCTCCGAATTTGTTAATTAGATCGACCAGCCAGCCCCTTGGGTTGCGAGGATCTGACGAAGGTCTTGCAAATAGTTCCTCCTCGGTTAAAATACATCCAGGCCCAGCAGTTTCACTCTGTCTGGTAGAATTGAAACTATGAAACTTGTTATTAGGGTTGAGAACCATAGCCAGAAGATCGAGCAATGGATAGTAGTCATGGGGCAACTTGACGACACACAGTTCAATTAGTTTTAAACAATTCTGATAAATGCAAACATGGATGTTGGTTTTCCAGCTGGACACTGCCTCGTCTGTTAGTATTTTGGTAAAGGAAATTGTCAACCCATCACGAAAGAAGCGCTGGCACGCTTCTGATTTCATGTCCAAGTTCTTCTTTGCCAGATCTATTGAGGCCTTCAGCAGAACTTCCAGTTCTTGATCTGGCAAAACTGGCACTACCCATCTTAGGTTCGAGATTTTATCTTCTAAAGTAACTAGTTTATCTTTTGGGAAATCTGGTTCAGCATTTTCGTCTTGGACCACTTCTGGAGTTACATTTGAAGGGCCAGCAATTGCGTTCTATGGACATTAAGAAAGAGGATTGGCAGTGTAAATGCGAAGTAAATTTCAAACAAAGCATCTGTGGATTTTGGATGTAGATGTAGGGATACATACAGTAGGGGTTTGAAATTACCTGGACTTCCTTGTTGTCTTCAACAATTTCCTGCCCTCTGGTTGCAACAGTCATTGTTTCACTTTGAATTTGGACTAAACAATCATCTTATAGAAACTGCAACAATTTTGATTAAATGATCGGATGAAATCCACCAAGACAAGCAAATTCACAAAAATTCACTAGAAAAAAATCTAATGAAGTAATGTCATATTTTGGAACAAAAATAAATGGGAGTGACAGAAATGATGAAGGATCAAGTTATTCGAATAAAACGTAATAAAGCTCACCCTACAAGTGTTCTAAATTATGCGGAACAAGATCAAATCACAGACAAATAACTATTCAATAATAAAACTATTTAATGTTGTAAAATATTTGACACCTATAGGTAAAATCACCGGCACATACAAAATGGCGTCCCGAAAATAACGATTTCAATGCTTTAGCCAACTTGTCCGACTATTTACCACTATAACAGCCTCCAAAATTTAATGGAAATCAAAAGTTACGATTCTTTGAAAAGAATACTTTAAAAAATTCTTGATTGTTGACGTACAAAACTATTTTTTCAGGCACGTCGTGATTTTGCAAAGAATCTAGCCAACACTGTCGATTGAATTTCCCCACGTTTTAGTGCTTTGGTTTTTTAACCATTGCTTGATTTCACCGATCTTATGTTGGTAAAATAAATTTCCCAATCAAATTATTCCCCTATCATTTCCCCAATAATTAAGCTCAGTCTAAAAATTGTCCAAAATTTCACAATCACTCTTCTATTCTCAAAAAAAACGTTTTTTAAGCAGAGTTCTAAGTAGAAAAAGAAGGAAATCTCCGCTTCACAGAGACATTGCGCTTTCCCTTATTGACAACACTGATCGTCAATCATATGATTGTCAAAGTTAAAGGTCCCCATCATAATTGCAGGTTATATTTTTGGCAAAATTCAAAGTTCTAATAACCCAGCGGTCTGTGAACCCAGCTTTTTCACGCAAAATGGTACAAATTTATTTTGTTTTCAAGCTCATGACTACGGTTGAACTGTTTGCAGAACGGAGTGATACTAGCAGGACTAGGGCTAGCGGCCGTAGGTTTTGGCGCAAGATATGCCCTACGCCAAATGCCGAACGCTGCCAAAACCTTCAATGAAGCAATGAAAAATTTGCCAAAGTTTGAGGAATCTGCCGCCAACTCCAAATATTACAAAGGAGGTTTCGACCAGAAAATGAATAGAAGGGAAGCTGCTTTAATTTTGGGTAAGATGCATAAGCAACGATACAAAATAACTTGTATCGTTCTCATTTCAGGGCAATCGTTCACTTTGTATATTGTCCGAAAAGAAGCCCCCTTTTTTTCGGGCCTTTAAAACTAATTTATAAATAACGCGCTGAACTGTTGTGCATCAGCTTCTAGTAGTAAAGTAACAATGTTTTCTTCCTATTCTCAAATTAAGCATGGGGGCTTGTTTCCAGCCTCTTGCTGCTGGGAGGTTGATTGCCAGTGGTTTATCCTTCTTGATCTTCCAACCTTCCTGAGACGAGTATGTAGTCTCTTTTTTCCTCGTTCTATGTGGATTTACATTTCCTTATTGCATATTGTATTTCTCTCTACCTGATCTGGTTGTTTGGCTTTAAACAATGGCACAGCATGAAAATTATAACCTTTATGAAACTACAGTAGAGATAAGTGGACGGTTTGGCGGATACGCTGCATAGTATTATATGATAAATGAAACCGCCAAAAATCAAGCGTTTTTGGTAAATAACTTACCAATCTTTGTGATGATATTGTTGGAATTTGGCAGTTACATTTACAGGGGTTTGGAGCTATTTTTTCCTAACAATCGCCACTCAAAATGCATTATTTTGGACAGTAGAATTAGCTAATTCCAACAAATTCCGTTTCAGGAATCAGTCCATCCGCAAACAAGGCTAAGGTTAAGGATGCGTTTAAAAAGGTAATGGGAGTCAACCACCCAGACAGAGGCGGCTCTCCATACTTGGCGTCGAAAATCAACGAGGCAAAAGATTTCTTGGAAAAACACTCACGGTAAAAATGAATCTGGTTGTAATTAATAACTGTACAAAATTGTTAATACTATTATGGAAAAGTTGACTAGAACATAGTGTAGTGAATATGTTTAAATGGTCCCACTCATTTGGTGTGTTTAAGTCGTAAAGAGTCTATTTTCCTACTTGATAGGCTCCCTGAGAGATCAAAAACGTACTAAAACAATCCATGTCTACATCTACTGTTAGCAATAAAGAAAAATTGATAACTTACATGCATAAATCCATGACAGTCTATAACTCTAGGATGATTTCTCATATTTTTAAACACAGTCATCAGCTCGCTCAAATCAGTGGTTTCTAGAATCTCCAGCTTATGCAGTTTGATTAAAGCTAAAGCCACGCGGAACAGTATTTTAGAGCCTTCATAGAACAAGCAGTCCCATATTCGTAGTACGGTTTCAGTGGGTAAAACATCGGCAAAAATGCAGATAAACCATTTGGTAGTTCCCATAGCCCAAGGCATTCCTATATTGTTTATATGCCTACATAATGGGATTTATGTTTTGGCTTAAAGAAATTGGGCTTGTTACCTGTGGACTGTCGGTTCGTGCTTTTGAACTAAGTCATTTACTACATCCAAGTCCGTTAATAGTCCAGACATTGTTACAACGTAGTATTTCGGCAGTAAGTGCTCAACTAACGTTTTCAACAGCCAGAATGTAGCTGTTTCATCTTTGGTAACCAGCAGAATTAAACCTTAAGAATCAATTCTTGTATGAACGTTTTACTATGCGAAGCGCATATACCTGCAATATAATTTAATCCTTGACAGTAACCCACTTCTGAATTCTGATGAGCAAATGTGGCCAAAACATTATACAGCATATTAGGCAGTTGTTTCTCATTCAAGAAAAAAATGTTATCTGGAAATGTGCGCGGTAGGTCAATTTTAATAGTCTCACTAATTTGGGAGTTTTCGATTTTTCCTCTGAGCTGCTGATAGCTCAGAGCGCTATTTTTCCTGCATTGTTCTGCTCCTGACACTGCCATCCAACAAGTCTTTCTCAGGTTGGCCGGTATTCCTTTCCGAATGAAACGTTTCATAGTGTTATTTTTTTTGAAATTTCGATTTTTGTACACAGAGTTCCATCTAAGCGCTCTTCTGGTTAATGTCCGCATGTAGTGAGACATAAATTCATCGTAAGTTTTGTAATCGAAGTCATCTGGTCGTTCAAAACCATATTCATCAATTTTGCTAAAAATTGCACAATCATTATTTATTTATTTATTAAATAGCACTGCAGCAGAGTGGATCAGCAAACGCAAAGTAATCGATTGCAGGTAAGTTACACGTAGTGCAGGATTTGCTTAAGAAAGTCCCTAAGCCCTTGCACCTGACTATCCTTCGCTGGTAACTCACCTGTAATTAGACTTTGCCATTTTCGTTCAGAATTCGTAGGGGATTTAATTGATCTGATAACGGACTCAATTTTACATACTGTGACACACTATCAAGATGCAATTACTCACAGAAACTTTCACTTCTCACGTTAGACGTTATATGCATTTCTAGCTTAAAGCACACTGGTTTTAGGTATGGGCCGCCCCTTTTACATTAATACTAATTAACAACAAATAACAAAAACTTCAAATAACTAAAGGAGACGTCAGAAGATAAAGTAGAGGTTACGTATTTTCCACAGAACATCCCCCCTATGGGTTATATATAGGGGTATTCGATGGTATTTTTCTCGTCAGCAATTTTTCATGGATTGATGTGGGCAGAACACTTTTTTTGGATTTTTATATTGACACCATGGGTGTTTTACGCATATTTGGGCATAATTTTGACAAAACCACGTATATTTTTAAAATGGGACCTTACTCACAGAATATATAGTATTACTTTTGAGTTAAACTTGACTACATTTTTTTATTCCCAAATTAGCTCTATCTTTCTCCAATCTCTTTCCAATTGTTCTGACAATATCCTATCAGTTTAGTTGGGTTAGGAACAAATCTGCCAACTTTATACAAACCTTACTTTTCGATTATTTACATTCATTTAATTTCATTAATAATAAATATAGTCCAACCGATTACCCGAACTGAAATTAATGAAGATCGAAAAGAAGGTAGACTTACTATATAAATGGATGAAATTAAGCTGTTGCTGGGCGTAGATTGCTACAATGAACTTTTAAACGGTATTCATGCCACTACAGTACTTTCAACACTCGTTAATTGTTGTTCTTCAGGCGGTTTCTCTACTTTGCAACACATTATACTAGCAGACCATAAAATACTGCAGGGCCTAACGGGCGCTTCGAGTGACACTGTACAAAAATGTATGTACATTGCTTCCGAAAAACTTCTTCAAAATAAATTTTGTACTGCCAAGCAGATCGAACCATGTCATAGAATAAGTATTGGCTGCACAAATCTAGACGGCCTTCTAAATGGAGGAATTCCAGTAAATGGGATAAATGAATTATATGGTTGCAGTGGTGTAGGAAAAACTCAGCTATGTCTACAACTGGCATTGCAAATACAGTTGCCTGTACATTTAGGAGGCAAAGGCCAAGGTAGTAGAGGAAATACAGTAATGGTGATTAATAACTAGAAATATTGCAGAAGTGGTTTACATATGTACTGAGGATGTGTTTCCATCAAAACGTCTTATCCAGTTAGCCTGCGCTTTTAGATCTAAATATAACGTGGACATCTGTTTTGAAGATCGCATCTATATCGAACACATTCCGAATTTTGTGCGGTTACAAAAGTGTTTAAACCTTTTACCACAGTTTTTATTGGGCAAAAAGGTCGGACTAATCATTATTGATTCAATAGCTGGTTTATTTAGAAGTGACACTGAGAATCCTAATTACGTAGCTAGAAGTCAAGAGTTTACAGTCCTAGGAAAAGTTCTCATTGAACTTCAAGAGAAGTGCAAATTTGGAATATTAACTATTAATCAGGTAAAATTGACAAGGTATTTAAGATGATCAAAGCAAAGGTGTTTAAGGTTGTAGACAACTTATCGTCTGGACTCACCGAGCCTTCTCTAGGACTTTCGTGGGCTAACAACGTTACCTCCAGATTTGGCTTGAGCAGGAATAACACTGATCCAATAAGACGGTTTGATGTCATATTTTCGCCTGATTTAGCGCCGAGTTTCAGCAATCTGCTTATTACTCCAGAGGGTATATTGGACGCATAAATAAATCACTCGGTTACTCTACACCATTTCTTGATCAACTACTATTCTTTTACCACATTGCTCTTTGGACGCCAGACAGTTTATTATAATCGGCAAGATGTCTGAAAACAATGCGGCTAAGTCGCCAAGGGGGCACCCCGCCTCGAGGCCTGGAAGTTATGACACATCTGTAAGTTAAATGATTCAAAAGCGAGTCCCTGGGCAGTGCCATTATTTCAGCACTGGCTATTTCTTGGAGTTCTGGTGGCAGGATGTCATTTCTTTTGAGGGAGTTGATTCGCAACCTTGTAGGCGCGTATTCAGTTACAGTCATTCTTCGTTTGTAGTCCCTAGCCATCCATCGGTTAACCCATTTGTGCCTCACTTGCTGAAACTGCAAAAACAGTCAATGAGTTGCTAGTGTTTACATTTTTATGCTTATAAGGTCTGCTTACCTGCTTGTTAAGGTCGGGCCTCAGCAATCCAGTTGCGTATTTAGCAAGACTCATTTTAACTTATAAAAAGTTTAGCTTTTTACTTTTTGAGGTTACCTGTCAAGTCCATCAAGACACTCAGAAGCCTACGTCTCTACAGTCTTGTTCTATGTTTATAGTGACGTCTTTGATGCTATGCAAATTTTATATTGATCCTACAATATTTAAGTACTTTTAATAAGTTTCGTTTAAAAACCATTTATATGCATGGCAGACATGTATTTATCCTTGTAAAACAATATAGCATTGTTTGGCTTCATTGAAACCATGTTAGTATAAGCAATTTTATTCGTTTATCTCATATAATTTTCGACTGTCAAATTGTTTTTCGACAGTTGACAGTGGTTGTGTCATAGTGTCATGGCGTTTTTGCGTGAAGAATTCTAGCATAAACATAAAACAGTATTGTTATTGTAGTCTGTGCTGTATTTGTTCAGAAGTTTTGAAATGGTTTCCGATTTGGAATCCAATGATGTTGAGAAATCGCATTCAGATGAGGGTAAACCATCGAAGATAGCGAGGATGGAGAAAACACGTGAAAAAAGGAGATCCAGCAGGTCCCGCTCTGGTACCCCCGAGAAAGACTCCCAGAGGAAAAAGAGACATAAACGAAGATATTCAGATGACAGGAACAGTGACCAATACTGGAACAAGTATCCTAAGAGAGACGAAAACGTCGTTGGTCAGAGGTACTATGAAGAACCGGGATACAGAAATCCGGAGGAAAATCGCGATAGAAGCCGCAACTCCCATAGGGAGAGGGAAAGGGAACGTGATAAAACTATCATTAAACCCAGGGAGAGAAAAACGGTAGATCTTTTAACATCGAAAACTGGAGGAGCTTATATCCCCCCTGCAAAACTTCGAATGATGCAAGCAGAAATAACTGATAAATCTTCCATGGCTTTCCAAAGAATCGCCTGGGAAGCTTTGAAGAAGTCTATTCATGGTTACATTAACAAAGTGAACACATCCAATATTGGAATAATTGCGAGAGAATTATTGCATGAAAATATTGTTAGAGGAAGAGGCTTGCTTTGCAAGTCAATAATTCAAGCCCAAGCTGCTTCTCCCACATTCACCAACGTCTACGCTGCTTTGGTTGCAGTTATCAATTCGAAATTTCCCAACATAGGAGAGCTACTGCTTAAGAGGCTGGTGTTGCAATTCAGGAGAGGTTTCAAACAGAATAATAAATCCATTTGTATATCGGCTTCAACATTTGTGGCTCACTTGGTGAATCAATGTGTAGTGCATGAAATCTTGGCACTGGAAATTCTAACACTCCTCATAGAATCTCCTACGGATAGCTCCATTGAAGTGGCAATAGCTTTTTTAAAGGAATGTGGTCAGAAACTGTCGGAGGTATCCAGGAAAGGTAAGCTTTTCTAAAAAGGATTCCCAAAAGCTCGTGATATAGAACAATTCAATTTTCAGGCATCAATGCGATCTTTGAGATGCTGAAAAACATTCTACATGAAGGCAAGCTGGAAAAGCGAATTCAATACATGATTGAGGTGATGTTTCACATCAGGAAAGACGGCTTTAAAGACTATGCAGCTATTATTGAAGAGCTGGATATTGTGGAAGAAGATGATCAGTTTACCCATCTGATTAAACTGGTTGATGTGAAACAGGCCGAGGCTGAAGACATTCTGAGTAAGTTTTTATATGATACAAATGTCTTTCTGGTTATTAACTCGTTTATATGTTTAAAGATGTTTTCAAATTTGATGACGAGTACGAAATAAACGAGGGCAAATACAAAATTTTGAGCAAAGAAATTCTTCAAAGTGACAGTGAATCAGGCTCTGAGTCAGGCTCAGATTCAGGATCAGAGGAGGATAGTGAAGATGAAGAAGTTAAAGGTCCAGATGCGATTGTAGATCAAACTGAAACTAACTTGATTGTCTTAAGGAGGACTATTTATTTGACCATTCAATCTAGTTTGGATTTTGAAGAATGTGCCCACAAGCTCTTAAAAATGGAATTGAAGCCCGGCCAAGAAATCGAGCTCTGTCATATGTTTCTTGGTAAGTAAATAAACGCATCTTCGACAAATTTTCAACCGCTTTTAATTTCTGAATTTTTTTAGATTGTTGTGCAGAACAAAGAACATATGAAAAATTCTATGGCTTACTAGGTCAGAGATTTTGCCAAATAAACAAAACTTACGTGGAGCCGTTTCAGCAAATATTCAAAGACACCTACGCAACAACACACAGATTGGATACAAATAGGCTGAGAAATGTGAGCAAATTCTTTGCCCATCTACTGTTTACTGACGCCATAAGTTGGGAGGTTCTAGAAGTAATGAAAATGACCGAGGAAGACACAAACAGCTCGAGTCGGATTTTCATCAAGATCCTATTTCAAGAATTGGCAGAGTATATGGGACTGGGAAATTTCAATCAAAGGCTGAAAGATCCGTGAGTTTTTATTTATATTGTATACGCTACATTTTTGTTCATTTACCTGTTTTGTTTCAGAACTCTCCAAGGTCATTTTGCAGGTTTATTTCCAAGGGATGATCCCAACAACACCCGTTTTTCGATCAATTTTTTTACTTCAATTGGTCTGGGTGGTTTGACCGATGATCTTAGGGACCACTTGAAGAATTTACCAAAAAATGTACCGGTACCCGCGAAGGAAGAAAGTAGCTCCTCCAGTTCAAGTGAAGATAGCAGTAGCTCAGGTTAGACACCTAAATTATTTTTATTTATTTAAATTGATTGCTGACCAGTTAGGAAGGAAAATATATATGACGGCTCTGGCCTTGTAAGCCTTCCTACATCGAACACTTTGTCCAACCATTCTTCCCGTGGGATAAAAAACAAGTGTTTTTTTATTTACTTTTAGAATCAAGCGATAGTTCTGAAGACGAAAGCCCCAAAGTAAATAAAATGAAATCGACACGTAAACAGAATAGAAGCCCCAAAGAAGTATTTAAAACCGGAAGAGATCAGAATAAGTATTCCAAGTCCAGCCAACAGTTTGATGAGAAGAAAAGTAAAAGGCAAAACGATCGTGGCCATTCACCGGAGCGTCGTTCGACTGATCGAAAGAAGAAGGACTACGAATGGGTGAGAAGCCGCCATGAAGATAATATTGACCAGTTGAGGGATCGCAAAAAGGCGTTTGAAAGGCCGAGATCTAGAGACAAAGAAGTAAAACGCAAATCGCGGTCACGGGAAAGAACAAGAAGGAAAAGTGTTGATGCGAAGTCCAGGGACACTGACAATTATCGCAGGAACCGAGACAGACGAAGAAGCTAAGTGTGTTTCTTTCTTATTCTGGTAGGTAAGTAATATTCGAAAACATGTTCGTATTAATAAAAACAATGTAACATATTGGGAATTATTGAAATATATTTGGGCTATTCGTTTTTCACATTAGATCTGCTTTTCATCAACCCTCAATCTTAAAGGCTGGCATTTGCTCTGCAGCAACCGCTTGAATGTATCGATGCACACTTGACCAGTCTGATCTTCTTTCACTCCCATTTCCCACAGTTTTTCAAAATTACCTTCAATGAAATTGTATCCCAGCTTTTCAAATAGGTTTCTAATCACTTGCGATGATCTTGGCTGGAAGAATGACTGTTCAAAAAAATATCTAACTGTTGCTTTCAATTGAACGCAACAAATTGATTTATTTCTGCTTTCATTCAAAGCGCAGATAGTTAGTTACCAGGAAAAAGTCCCGATATGTTAACCCGAAATTAGTGTAAATGCTAGGATTAACTACACTCTTCGCCGAAGTTTCGTCCCCAAAATTTTCAATTGCTGCCCTTATACCACCACTTGGGGCTACGGGTCGTGGCAAATCGTGTCTTATGGACGGAATTCCTGCTGTTGGCATATTTCTGTTTGAGTCTATAGTAAGCAAAATTTGGTTGGTTAAAGATCGTTTCCGTGTTTTTCATTTTTAAGTCGCATTTTGAACAATGAGCAAAGCATACTTTAAATAACAAACGGGAGGAACATACTATGAGAGATAAGGCTAATGAAATTATTTTCTTCTACAGTCTGCAAGCTCGAGTAACGAAGACGAAACTCTTACCAGTGTTATTCACATCCAAATAATCACATCCAGCTGCCCGAGAAGTAGAAATGTAGTACTTGCTCTCCTTTGGAACATCTGCAAGTCCATAAAGTGAGGGATATTTTGGCGCCTTAAATAGGCTTTCTACCTTCTATTGGCCGCATATCGATCAGCTCCTTATTATTATCAATCAAGTCAATAAATTTCCTGTAATCCGTCTTGCCATCGACAATATAATTCAAGTAGTAGCAAAGACATTCCAGCTCTGTCGGCAGCATTATATAGCTGCAAGAGAACAGTTTGCGCAGATCTTCAAAGGGAAGGAACCCCGATTTGGCCTGAAAATCCTCGTCAATTTCCAAGGAAACACTGAAAAATTCGCAATTGCCTTGTCCAAGTATAGCGCTTTCTTATAAAAATCCTCGATGTCAAAACCGTGAATCCGTTTTTGTTTGATGGCCATCCTTGTTTTGTTTAAACTGGCAATCCATTGACGAACATCGCGCTTAAACACGCAAGGCTGCACGTTTGGGTCCTTTAGCAGGTCTTCTACGCCGTAGAAGTCTTGATTCGAAGCATCGCCAAATGTATGGTTCTTTGGTACCAAACTGATGTTATTGTTTCTGAAAATCGTTTTATTTGCCGCTAGTCGATATGAGGTGTCTTGTTACGAACGGCGCTAAAACCTGCCCAAGACGCGGGCGAGTTCTTTTAAAAAAATCCGCTTGCAGTTTATTGGCATGTACCAGAGGTTCCTTTTGGTACCAATCGCAAGCGCATTTCACCCAAATGCCTCTTGGGTCATACTTCGTCTTTTGTCCGTAACATTTATTTGGATTAAACGGAGGTTTATTGTATCTGAAATAATGTTTCAAGCTTGTTTTATGCGCGGGCGTTCACTTGTTTACCCCCGCTGGACTTTTTCGGAAGGGTTGTAATCGTTATGCGTTTTCTTGTATAATTCATGCCCTACTTGGCAGTCTCTGAGCACTTCGTAGTGGCTTTTCGACGGATTCACCACTTCTTTGAGGGAAATGTCTGAAAACGAACTATGGAAGGCTGATAAGTTCATCAATGTGGCGTTGCTTAAACCTTTTTTGGATGGGTTTCCAAAGGTGACTTCAAGAGGGTTCATTCCTGCTGGCAGTCCTGGTACTGGGTCTCGAACTTTGCCTATTTCCGCGTTCCAGTAGGACGAATACACTGTGTCTTTTAGATCGCCAATCATATGCTGATATCTTGTTAAAACTGGAGGATTCAACAGTTTGCTGACCTAGAAATTTGCATTTGAATGCATTCCCAACATCAAGTTGGATCAAAATTGACCTGGGTGTTTGTTCCTAAAAACTGGGCGCCTTGAATTGGAGGCAGTTTTCTCGGTGGTATAAACTGGTCGGATTTCCAGATGTTGGCGTCATGTTTCAACGCGTTGATTTCATCAACTAATCCATATTGTTTCAAGGCGGATTCAACGTTATCTTTGGGGTCTCCGGATACTTTTCCAGCCTAAAACGGTTGATGCTTTGCATGGTTTAACACAAAACACTGCAGATTATTACCGCACAAATAACAGGGGAGCGATCCACATATTTTCCATAGTTTCCAGCCATTTAAAGGTGGGCAAATAGCATTTTCGGCTTGAAGTTTTCAACGATCAAAAGTGGCTTTATTGTTGTTAAGGTAAAAACAGGCCCAATTAGTTGACTGGCGTTAGAAACATTTCAATGGCGTTTTGGTGGGTTTCTTTTGCAAAATTAAAACACTAATGTATTTTTTATTTTAATGTAATTTCAGTCATGTATCATTTATTTCAAATAAGTTTTTTTTACAAAAATCTAGGTTTATCTCATTAGTTATTCACATGGCAAGTGCGAATGCCAACTTAAATATTAAGCAGGAATACGCATGTAAAAGTCTTATTACTAGGTTTACTCGTTGGGTTACTGGATTAATCGTTATCTACTGCACGTCGGTAGATTCACTATGAAGAAAACGTTGAGCTCGACTAGGGTTGCAAATATTACGAACCCAACGTACATTACGAGGCATACTAGACCAATCTTCCAATCCAATCTGAAATGTTGAACATATTTATTTCATGTTTTTTAAGCTTTTGCTTTTAGGGCTCTTTGGTTCACGTAGCCAGTTTTACCTCTCAAGTTACTCGCATCTTGTAACTTCAAGAGTTGAAAGCAACAACTAATTCTGACGCACACAAATGCATACGATTGTCGATCCTTCTTAATATTAAGACGTTTAAGACGAATTTCTTTAGAACAGGGTTTTCTCATAAAACGCATAAAAACATAAAAAAAACAACCAAATCAAAAAACAAACTCGTCAATGATTGGGCAGGCGATGCATAAGGGACTTTTTTCAAGAGTTAAAGTGGTCAGTGCTAATTAATTGTTCCTTAATTTTTTTAGTCGGCTAAACACTGACTTAAAAAACTAGTTTAAACCTTGTTTACGGTACTAAAAGCAACCAATAGATGAACAACTGAGCTACCAAAACATATATTAACAACATTTTTAGAAACGAGTTAGATTGTTGTTTTTTTTTGTTTTTATATATGATAATATATGTGTGCTCCTTTTATGCTCCTGAATGGATCAATCTTCTATTTGTGACTGAACGATCAGAAAATCCTTTAACAAAACGTTTGGCTTCTATTTATCGGGTTTTTTCTCAAACACAAAATCCTAAATACAACAATTTTTATACTCACTGAAACTTGTTGAAACAGATGCTGAGATAGAACAGGACAAGAGTGGTCAATAAACAAACAGCACTGTAATTTATCCCTTGTGAATTTATTGTGATCCAATGTTGGCCTGGCACTTTAGGGTAAAAGGCAGACTTGATAAACCACGGGAGCCCCAAGCAAAGGAGAATATCGAAAGTGTTCGAACCAATCGAACTACTTATTCCCATTGAACCATACCCTGAAAATCGTGTATTGAAACTATCAAGTTTCTAAGAAATGTTAGAATTAATTAAATTGCTTAAAAAACTTAAATGCTGCAGAAAATGAATCAATTGGCTGAAATTTAATTTGGAACTTAAACTTTTTGCCTTTTGCACTAGTTTGATATTTTCGTTGTATTCCACTCATTTGCAAACGTATCTAGAATGTATAGATAAGCCAATGCAACTTTCGGTGTCTGTGCTTCATGCTTTTTTACCAAAAATCTAATACTGAACTGTTTCCTTAAGGATTTTTTCGAAATCTGGACATTGAAAACTTTTAATTACAATCCTAAAGAAGTCTTAAAATACATGAGGAAACTAAAATAAAAAAGCAGCGCTTAAAGAGTGCAATATACCTAAATCAAATTCATTCCTGGGCTTCAGTCATTTATTGTCTCTATTTATCAATCAAGGAATTAATTTGATTTGGAATTGAAACACAGTCAGGAAAGTATATACAATATACCTAAATTGAACCTGCGGCACTTGCATATTTCATCGACTTTATCGGAAAATTAATTATTATAATTATTCAGCTTTAAAATTACCTTGATTTGTAACCAGCACACTAGAAACAGCTTCTGGTACGCTGGTTCCAGCAGCTAAAAATGTTAGTCCCATAACAGAGTCTGGAATGTTCAGCGTATCACCTGAAATTGATTTTAAATCGTCGCTAAATCTAGCAGTAAGCAATAATCGAAGGAATGAAACTTTTGATAAATATTGTACATAAATTAGACTCACCAATGATTGTAATTAACCAAGCAACCACATAAGAGACCGTTCCAATCCAAGCTACACACATTGCAAATGTGACAATGTACATTTTGGGATATTTTTTTATTGTTGGCGTTGTAAGGAACAGCACGAAAGATATAGGCCAGGTGAAAATCCACCAAAGTTTGGTCTTTTTCGTGTCTTCCTTAGGCCAACTCCATATGTTAGTCGACTCTTCTGAAACAGCGCTCTGCAATTGTTGGAAAATTCAAAATTATGTGGCTGCCACTCACCTGATTGCTCAATATCTTTGAGAGTCACATCGGAAAGGAAAAATTCAACTACAGAATCACTGTAGTTATTGTTGAGTTTTTCGTTTGCTTTTAGCAGGAGCGGCTGATTTTCTGCCATCACTTCCTTATAGAAGCGTCTATTCCTCAATTTGGCGATGGTTCTATGAAACCAGGAACTAATAGTGTCATTAAAGACCATCACTGGAAAAAATCTGATGCAGGCTGGCAGCTTAGATTAGGTGCATCCTAAGCAAGCTTACCTAAGAGGTAGCCTAGATAAAGCACCATTAGAGTCAAGGCTTCCGAATAGTAAATAATTCCATCTTGCAAAAAGCAAATAAGGATGATCACCGCACAACCATAAACTGCGCTATCGCGAGTTAAGGCAAACCATTCCAGCCTGAAGGCCTGAAATTATCCTCATTAATTAAAAGGAACCTTTGCAGAACAGGGGCTTCTTACCATATTTCCAAAGAAGCCACAACATGCTGGTACAGCCAGTATGTTGAAAACAGCCGATCCCACAATGGTTCCCAACCCTAAATCACCCTCTGTTATAAAAGTGCCAACGCTGTTAACAAAAATTTCCGCACTGGAGCTGGCAGTTGCCATAAAAGTCGCCCCTGCAATGTCTTCCTTTAATTGTAGAACTAAAACAAAGTTTTATTGCTGCATGCGACCTACAACGGGTTCTTTGAGACAACTTACCATCGCACAACTTTTTTATACACGGCACGAAATAGTCATCGCAAACTACTGCTAAAAATATAAATAAATAGCATACCACTATCACATGGATTATCACCCACCCATGCTGGCGTTGCTCTCTGGTTAACCCATCCGAAGGAAACTCATTCAGGGCCGCCGGGGTACAATTTCTACTTTCATTCCAACTCAAAGTGGAAGGTTTTAAATCGAATATTTCATTGAATTGGCCAGGATTAGAATCGTTTATCGAATTTAACGCCAATAAATGTCGAGAGGTAAACATCGGGTATCCTAAAGAAATAAGTGCGATTTATGAGGCGATCCTGAGGTCAGTTTAAGCAGAAAAGAGTCAAAATTGCCAATGATTGAAACTGATGCATTTCAAACGGTTGGGAATAAAATTTGGAGGCTCAGTTCGGTGTAAGGTTTCGCGCAAACTCATCTCCAAAGATGCAAGTCGCTTGTACTGGCAAAACGTCGGGAAGATCTATTCTACAACGGGCTAAAGACTACTACCAAAGATTAACTTTTTCAAATCAATTTTTGCGATATTTTCAATGATCTCGAGTTACTACCTTCCAAAGGTATGTTAACTTTGACTTTGCTCCGATCAGTCTATTGGTTTCTAAAAAACCCAATTTGTTTACGTGTTTGTGCGGAAAATTGATAATTTTCTGAAAATGGGGGTTTTTCTTTAGTATTTGCTACCATTTTCCAGTCTAGTTGTGTAAATTTAACCGCAAAAATGCCCTTTTTTAATTGCAAATTTTCTGGCCTTTAGCTCGCTTGGAATTGAGTGGTCCGCTGGCTTTTTCGCACGATTCCTTTAATACTTTGATGAATTTGCGACGGTGCCCAATTACGTGTTTTGTTACAGAAACGAGCATCTTATTAGTAAATTGTGTTTTCCTAAATTTTGCCTTTTTTCGGCTTTTGAACAGTGTGGCCCACCTTATGCGAAAATTTTACTAAGTTTTGGCTGGACAGTGTGCCTATCAAATGGGTTTCAAAGAGTTTTCAATCAGAAAGTGTGAAAACATATAAATATAACGTACATAAAATTGAACGATAAATTTGGAGTTTGCTCTTAAAGAGTGTCAACTAAGTTATTAGTTCAACATTTTTTCGATCGTATTGAAAATACGCACTTACAATGCGCATTTATCTCAAAACTCTTCATCGATTCCAAAAAAAGCCCATTATCAGTTTAGACGCACTGCACGCAATTAAAAATATATGCATTTAGTGCAATGGATAAAATGCGTCTCAGTTAGAAGATTTATTAACCGAGAACACGATAATTATGAATGGTATTTATTTTATCTTAACACACTCCAATGAAGAAATAGTGTGCCTGATTGTTGTTTAATGAATATTCTTGTATTATTTTCCGCAAATGGAGATATTTTGCTAAATTGACGTCAATATACGAAATCGGCATTTAGATATTTTGAGCAGATAAATGAACTGTAAAACTTTCTGATTTCTTTGTGTAAACTACAGCAGATTTTAGACGAGAAAACCTGATTGTTTTTCTCAAATATTAGGGTTTTTATGCCGCGTCTAGACCTAATAAGCCGACCGAGCCTAATCCGCGGCCAACTCCTTTGATGTTTCGTCAAAACACCTACAGAAAATGGATCGTCTGTCGGTGTTTTGACGAATCATCAAAGATGTTTTGCCGCGGCTCAAGCTCGGCTCGTCAGGTCTGCACGCACCATTGGATCGCTACAAAGGGGTAGAAAAATTCAACTTTTCTGCAGTTTATAAACCAGATAATGCTGCATGAGATCTATGAATACGCTAGTTAAATCGCATTTTCTTTAATAATAGCAACTTTAAACGCGCATTAACAATTAGACCGAATAATTAAGTTAATTGATTTTGATGAGCACTAATAACTCAAGCTGCTTCAACTGACCTGTTAACTGAATTAACCTGTAGTGTCTTTATTTAGCCACCGCCTTTGATATGTTTTTGAATTAGGAAGAATAAACTGTAAACAGTTAAAAAGAAAAAAATCCACATTTCCATAGTAGGTAATTAATTATTGAAATGCTTACCCGAACTTTCTTTCACTGCATGAGGGTTGCTAATGCTATTAGAGAGCAGAGCAATAACTAAGTACACGAAACTGACGGTGCAAATGCAGATAATCCTAAGTCGAAGCGCGACTTTCCGGGTTCTAGTCCTTAACAGCATTGCCATAATTATAGAAAAACTAACAACTCAAAATTATGCAGCTTTGAAGATTTGCCCAAAAATTGGTACATTCACTTTAAGCACTGAGTTACGCCACTGCCATGCACCTGTTCGATTTAAACTTGCCGCAAACTGCTCCAACAAATATATAACTTTTCTTCGCCTCTTATCAGGATGCTTGAAACGCTCAATGGGAATGGAAATTTTTTAAATTTTATATAAATACTCAAATATCAATATAGCACTGCATTGTGTTTTTATGTGAACTCGTTTCGTATCATTTACTATGGGAATTGTTCTTATGAGTGTAAATACAAGCGAACCAGTGGCGTGAACACAAGTTGACAAAAAATAAATTACACAGTTTCGAATACTTTTTTAATAACAATACTATAAAACAATTCATTTGTGTTCACGAAGGATCATCGTCCTTCTGATTTGGAAAAGAAAGTCTTCTGTTCAAATTTTCGCCCAAAAAATGTGGTCCAATAACTCCATTAGTACTTTTGAATATTTTTTTTTAAATAATTTTCCCGCTCTAAGAACAGTGTCGATGATCCATTTTTGAGGATTAATCAAGTAAAATATGTGTAATCAAATCCATAATGGGGCGTACGCTAATGATGATGCTCTAGGATTTGTACAGTCAGTATATGCATTAATTTCAAAACCAACACAATGTTTATACGAACAGATATAGATTTCACTTTAAGACGCCACAATTATAATAATATAATAATTTCAAGGAATGTTGATAATAAAACGGTTTACGCTTTACATTTACACCAAATGCGACATACTCACACATGGATCTTAAGATAATGACAATGTTGTTTGTCGCACTTTTAGTGTTTTCTACCTGAGTAATGCCAATAAGCCGGAAAATTTTCCATTTGCACCGGAAAATATTTGTAATTTTGTGTTAGTATAAGGACAACGAAATCTACTTTTAGGGTATAAATTGCAGTGAATTGAAAAATGAAAAACTTCTGTTGATTTCTCTTTTTAGTGTTGAACCATTTTTGTATAATATTTCGTAATAGTAACATTTCTAAAACTGAATATTGCAGTCTTCTAATTGATTCAGATCTGGGCTGTATATTTGAAATATTATTTAACGTGTACCAAAGGTGTTTATATTAATTTTAAAGTAAAGGAGTGAAGTGTGCTTTACATCATTTAAATTACAAAAATTGAAGAAATACATTGTATAGTAAATTAATAATTTCGTACATAGTATATACATTTCGTATATACTAGTATAGTAATTTGTAATGGGAAAGTCGATGTGTTCAGCTGGCCATTGTCCACATTTAGTACGTGCACGGCCTTTATTTATCGCACTTTCGATTTGTTCAGTCAGTTGATCGGTGTGTTTGACGCATTAGTGGTCGGATAAGAAGAGTTTTTACCGCTGGAATTTCCGGGGAAATTTCGACTGCTGGTAGAATTAGCATGCAATATTTTTAAAAAAATTACATGTTTTCTCTAGCTTTAGAGGGAAAAATTAAACCCAGAAATGTAGGCCTTCCAACGACTTAAGTCGTGATCAAGAAATTATCTTTTAAAAAAGAAACTTGACTTCAAGAAAGTGCACTTACAAATGTAAGTACGGAAGTAAGAAATTTCTTTAGAAAACCCTGAATTTTTTCAATTAGTGGATACAGTTTTTTTCTTTCATTTCAAAAATATGTAATTTGGTTTGGCGGTTTTCAAATTATTCGAAATGAAAAATCGTGATTAAGTTGGAAATGTAGTGCACTCGAATTATTATTTCGATTGAACAGTTCGATTATTTCCACTACTAGACGCTATAGTTTATTGGAGCATCCTGTATATGTAAGAAAATTTTCCTAAAATAGCTGCTCTTTTTCCATCCGAATGATATTCTTCACTTTACTAATATTCAAGGCTCCTATGTATAAATATGTAGACATTTCATGAATTAGAGGATTTGTATGAATTATACAACTCACACATTATACAGGGTGGGCAGCATTTAAATGACAAAAACAGTGAAATTTATTTCATAAATTCAGGACAAACAGTTCATCTGAAAAACATGATCTACCATCAAGTATACAGCAAGTAAGTGAATTACTTGCTCACCTAAACTTGCCAAATGTTTTGTTCAATCTTCTCTCAATCGACTTGCTGGGATGTTAATATCATCAAACCTCATTTTGCTGGGTAAAATCTGCGAAACTTCCGCAAACTCAGGAAAACCTAAACAAGGCTCTCACGATCGGCTGCGTAATAAAAAATCAAATATTTGCCCGGAGCGCTAATTTTTATTATTAAATAAATAGGTGTTAGGCGCAAAATTTACAAAATAATTATGAAGATAAACATGCAACTGGTTCGGGTTAACATGTGAAAATATTACGTGAGTGCTAAAACGTACAAAGGGCAATGGTTTTTCTTTGGCAATTAAATAAATTATTGTAGCACTGAAATGGCATTTAGTCAACAATACGTCTTCGACGCGATTTAGTTTTAATTTAATTAGTTAATCGGTGTGGTCAAATTCGGGCGACAATCCCCTGTGACCTCATATTTGGACGTTTCTACGCCTTGCAGCAGCAGCAGTCCCTGATGATGCTTATAGAAAAAAATTATCTTTAACAAAGAGTTCGGTTGTTTACGATTATGTCGGGTCTCGGACAATGAGCCTGTTATAAAAGTACAATAGAGCCAGTGCGGTGCCTGTTAAACAGCCTTAGTAGTTGTATAACAGAGCTGAGTGGAGCCGATGAGTGATACCGATAGCGCGGATTTTAGGGCGGGGGTCAGAAGTTTCTTAAGCACCATCATCCACCGACAGGATGGACTTCGAAACACTGGCAGCAGGTGAGTTTTGCTAGTTTCCTCACCAGTTTTACCCGCAAGACTTCAAGTGCGGTTCCTCTGGGCTGGGAAACTGATTTCCGCATCAACATCTAAAATCGTTGAGCTGTGCTTTTTGCAAAACGAAACAGTTTCCAACATACAGGCGAATCTTTTCAAGAATACAGTGCGAATTTGTCGAGTTTGCCCTAATGTCCGGCAATGAATTAAGTTGTTACATTCAATCGATTAAGTGAATGATTGTTCTCATCTGAACACATTTAAAAAATGAGCAGCTTTGCCATGCTCCTACCTGCAATCGACTGATTCGGATCCCAGTTGCGAACAAGCGAGTTAACAAGGGAGGACTTAACTTTTGCCAAATAATTAGCATTTAGAGGAACTTTATCGTTTAGCTTTAATTTAGAGCTATTCAGAAGGGCTGTTGGCGGCAAATCGAGTTTAAACGAATAATTTCATTAATCTTGCACGTTTTTCCATAAACGAATTTTTCGAAAACTAAACAAATTTGAAACAACAACAATTATTGCATGAAAACAGACCGAGAATGCGCTGGCGAAAAAAGAAAGTTTTTAGCTGATGATGGCAAAAATATTGTCGAAACGTTAAGGCAAAAAAAAAGTTTAAAAATCGATTATTAGTGACCGTAATACTGGTATATCTAGGATGTTAAGGCAATGCTGGAATTTCCCGAAAAAACCATTGTTTTTGTTGCATCAACATTTCGGCTTTATTTTAGCTATCATCATCAAGTGAAAAATGAACAGTGTTTTCTAAGAAACTCCATCTTCGACTCGGATGCTTTATAATGGCAGGCTATAATACGCAAACGTTTCATTACCAAGCTGCAGTTTCTTTTAACCCCCTTTAGATACGTCTGTGTTTTTTCCCACCAAATCGTTTCTTCTGGGATCATTTCTTCTGAAATTCTTAATCTTGCTCTCTGCCCAATTTATATGAACAGTTTTATACCTCGTGATTGTTCCGTTCTTGAGTAAAAAAATATGGAAAGATCTTAAAACGCAAAATTGAAAATTCGAAGAACTTAAACAATTAAGATTGCGCGCTTGTGCGCAAAAGGAACAATTGCATGCATAAATGTACAAGCAATTGCTAGCAAATGGCTTTCAACTTGAGGATAGCATCTTAATTTTGAACACCCTGTGTATTCAAATGTGTTATAAAAAATGCGCACTTTAAAATAATTATATTCCTACGGCTATAATTTCTATCTTAATTTTGAACTATGCACTATCTTAATTTTGAACACCCTGTGTATTCAAATGTGTTATAAAAAATGCACACTTTAAAATAATAATATACCTACCTGTCCGAGACTTTTTCTGAAAGAAAGCTTGATAGCCAGAATTGCAATCGAATTTATTCGTTTCTTTATGGACACACTTGTAATTAATCTCTGCGGTCATCCCGCAAAACTATCAATATTCCATATTTGAGAACTATGACAAAATCTGCACTAAATAAAGAAAAAATCCCAACCATTCCCGAAATCTTTATCACGCTCTAGCTTGCAAACTTCTGTTCGTGTGAGTTTCTTCTCAAAAATGATCGCCTTGTATTGGGACAGGTTGTGAAGAAACACTCTATACACCGATTTCTTCAAAAGCAAATCACAAAGTGAATAACACACGCGATTTGCTAGCAACGATGCCTTAAACTGATCTCTCTATTGCATTGATTTAAACAGATATAGAACAGTAATAAATATAGACGACCGCTTGTTGATTCAAGAAGATTTAGTCCAATTAAATAGTAATTGATGGAACCAGAATTATTCGCATCTTAATATGAGTAGAATGCGAATTGATGACAGAGTGCAGAAATCCTTTGTTCTTACCATGTGCATTTGGTAAAGATATGTTAAAGAGCGCATTGAGTATGAAAGAATTAGTTGTCCTTTACCCGAAGTTGAGAGGTAAGTTTTCAGAGATTGTGCGGGTAATAAAAGGATGAAACTCTCAGTTGGTTAAATTTGTGTTGGAATGTTGCTATATTGTTTAAAAAGTTGAGGATGTATTGGATATGAAAGACGCTAATAGTTGTGGTAGTTGACTAAAGTATATCATTTTGATCATGTAATTCTTTCATTGTGGATACTCAAGTGTTTGCTCAGTTATACCTAATTGTTTCTTATCCTGTTTGTTTGCTCAAAAAACAAAACGTTTGTTCCCAAAAAAAGTATATGAACTTCCTAAGAAAATTTAATTCGGGTTTTTAGATTCCGTCTAGATGTTCAAAGGCGTTCAACCCGAGCATGCAGGCAGATTTATTATTTCACTTTGCTTTTAAGCGAATTTTACTTGAAATACTCTACTTCCACATACTGGAAACTCAAAACGCATGTTTTGCTGATGTTTAGATGTTTTATAATTAAACAAACCGAGACTTTTTCGAATAAATTCATTAACAACGTTATTATTTTCTTATGGTGTTTGATAACCGGCGAAGGCATTTTTATAGTTTCTCTTCGACAACCTAGCAAAACATATTCAAAAAGCCAATAGACAAAATATTTGCTATTTTATGGGTTTATCTTTAGAATTATTGCCTGCTTTTGATCATTGTTTTTTGTTCAATGGAGGCATTTTTAAAAACTCAATTATTTTTTTTGTCTTCAGTTTCTGGTTTATTATGTTATTGATAACCGGCTACTGTTTTGTCGAATCATTGTCTGCTTTCGTAGTGTTTTTCATTTTCCAACTTTTTTGTTTGTTTGCCGTATTTCGTCTTGTTGAAGACTTTCCATCTTTCGTCTTCTTGCAGAAGAAAGATGTAATTCTTTACCTTTTGAGCAAAGAGTAATTGGTATAAGTTAGTCTTAGCTACAATTTGCTTGCTAATTTTTGAAGAAAAAACCTATTGAAAACTTTTGAGGCATCATCAGGCTCTGATTCTGATACAAAAAGTTTGTTAATTTTTTCACGGTTTCTCTACACAGTTATACCTACGAGTCTGTCATTTTAAGTTGAAAAAATTAACGTTAAACTTTTTAAGTCCATTCTATACATTGATCTTCCTATTCAATGCAGGAATCCAGAAATGCATTCAAACTAAAAAACATACGAGATAATTTCGGATTATTGCAGGACTTAACTGTACTCCACCAGCCATAGATGACTTTCCTTCCGATCAATTCACGGAAGTCCAAAGACGAGAAGGTGGTATTCTAGTTCACATATTTGTATCGTTATACCTATTCGTAGCTTTAGCTGTAGTCTGTGATAATTATTTTGTACCCGCAGTGGAGAAAATCTGCCATGGTAAGCGTTTTCAGCCAACCATTCTACTCCTTTTTCATTAATGAAACTTTCAGCACTCAACATGTCCGCAGATGTTGCTGGGGCAACTTTTATGGCGGCAGCTACTTCGGCTCCAGAACTTTTCGTTAATGTTATCGGAACTTTTATCACTGAAGGTGATATAGGGGTGGGAACCATCGTGGGTTCCGCCGTATTCAATATTCTTGCTGTGGCAGCATGTTGCGGCGTCAGCGCCGGAATGGTAAAACTTTGCAACTATTCCTCGAGTTTCCATCTTAAAGTGTGGGGCTTTTAGTGTGGCGTCAAAGTCATACCTTTGGATTGGTGGCCGCTAACCAGAGATTGCTCCGCTTACGGAATAACCGTATCGATACTGATTTGCATAATACATGACGAAAGAATTGAGTGGTACGAGGCTCTAATCTTAGTCCTTCTGTACATTGTTTATATCCTTATTATGTACTTTGATAAGACCATACAGAAATGTGCCCGAGGTAAGTGCTAAGCTAACAACATGCACACTTGCAAACATCATGCTATGTTGCTTGCAAAATAGCTTGTTTGTTTATTCCTGTAAATCTCAGTTAGTGTTATTCCAGGCTCGATAAAGCAAATAAGGTTGAGAACCAAGAAGCAGCGGAAAAATTCAGTATCGCCAGACAATTCTAATTTGAATAATACGAAAGGTGAGTTTTTCACACCTTAAAGTTTGATCATTTCTCAGGTTTGATAATGTAGATAAATATCGTAAAACGTTGTTAATTATAAGTAAATGTGTAAATTCATTTGCTGCATTAGACTAACGAAACAAATTGAAATAAGCCGAAGGATGACAAAAAATCGGTTTTCTAACTAGCTCGAGCAATGGAAAATATGACGAAAAAACACTTTTAGCAAAAGTTGCTGATGTTTGGTAGCTACACACTAGAAATTAATTTTTTATTAGATTGTATTTTCAATGCCCCACCATATTATATGTTATCTATCTTCATAGCAGGTTTTTGAGTTCGAAAATGTTTCGAAAAAAATAGTCAATATACAAAATGGCAAAACAAATTTTCGATTTCAACTAATTTAGTCAATTCAATAAGCTGAGTATTTATTGAAGGGTCCAGTGAAGAAAACACCGACAATAATGCGCCCTTATCATTGGATATCGGCAATGATAATAATAGTCATATAACACTTCAATCGCATGTAAATGGTTCCTTAAAACCAGACTGTGTCGATCGCATTGATTCGAAAGAAGAACCTCCAAAATTGGAGCTGAGCAGCAGAGATACTGATGAAGAATTGCCGTTCTGGAAATGGCCCAGCGATAAAGGAAGATTTCGTCAGGTAATGGTCTTTTAAAGCCTGAAAAATTGGTTTCTCTTTAAAGTAAACGGTTTTAGATCACATGGATCATTACTTGGCCAATTCGATTAGTTTTTTTCCTTACAATACCGGACTGCGAAAAACCGAATTTGAAAAAATGGTTTCCGATCACTTTTCTGATGTGCATCATATGGATTGGTTCGCTTTCTTATATCGTTGCATGGATGATCACAATTATAGGTAAATACTGGTTTAAAAAAACATCGCAGTTTTAAAAGGATACCGACTACATGTTGGGTCCAAGTAAAACGGTAAAGTATAGGGCGTAGATGTTGTTGAAACTGATAAAAACACAGTTCAATGTTTTCCTCATTCAACAAATTGGGATATCGTACGGTTGAAATAATAGTCAAAGAATTACGCTGAAAACTAAAAAAAATATTATTGAAATTAATTTTGCAATACTCTTCTTTCAGCTGAAGTATTTCTTATACCGTTGCATGGATGATCACAATTATAGGTAAATACTGGTTTAAAAAAACATCGCAGTTTTAAAAGGATACCGACTACATGTTGGGTCTAAGTAAAACGGTAAAGTATAGGGCGTAGATGTTGTTGAAACTGATAAAAACACAGTTCAATGTTTTCCTCATTCAACAAATTAGGATATCGTACGGTTGAAATAATAGTCAAAGAATTACGAGGAAAACTAAAAAAAATATTATTGAAATGAATTTTGCAATACTCTTCTTTCAGCTGAAGTATTTTCGCTTCTGAGCAAAAAAAACTTATTCGAATGTAACCTGGAAGCGAACTTTCGTTAAATAAGAATTTTCTTTCCAAACCGTGGTTGACATAGTTTATAATTTTATACGTTAGTTTTAGTTCGGGTTGGTTTTGTGTGCTTGTAACTCTGCCTACGAAATTTATTTGGCTTCCGAATTGTTCACGGTATTCTTTAAAAAATCTCAATTTTTCCAGGTGATACGCTGCGAATACCCGATTCAGTAATGGGTATCACTTTCTTAGCAGCTGGCACGAGTGTTCCTGAAGCTGTCTCCAGCGTAATCGTTACCAGACAAGGTGTGTTGAATTAGGAACAAAACAGGCATGAAAAATAATCAATTGACGGGATTCGGTTTACTCGTTCTGTCGAATTTATTTTCGGAAAATGGATTCACAAATTGCCAACTACATAAATATTTTGTATCATTTACTACAGGACATGGTTCAATGGGCATAAGCAACTCAATAGGATCCAACACCTTTGATATCCTGTTGTGCTTAGGTCTGCCTTGGTTTATCAAAGCTACTTTCATGCCAACTATTCCAGGAAAACATTGGGTAAGTTGCTCCTTCTTTTCCCAGCTTTAACGCAATAACTCAATGGGGTTTCAGGTGGGAATAAATTCAGCTGGCATTGAATATAGCGCCATTTCCCTACTCTCCTCCCTACTGATGCTCTATGTGGTTTTTGCCCTCAACAAGTTCAGGCTGGACAAACGCGTTGGACTGATTTGTCTTCTTATGTATGCAGTGTTTCTGATTCTGGCCAGCTTAATCGAGCTGAATGCCTTCTTCAGGGTTAACTTGCCAACGTGTGGCCGATGAAATTGTTAACTTTGTTTAAAGTGAACGGGAGCGTGTGAGTTTAACTGATTTTTTGTTGTTTTTGAAATTTAAAGACATTTTTTCCATCAAGTATGATGACTCGAAATATTAACCCATTTATTAGATTATTGTAGCGTTTTGTAAATAACGTAGAAATATTTTAGGTAATTTCGTAGAGCAAATTGAGGTCGAACGTCCCACGGGATTGTATTTCACTTTTTTTTGGGCAATTCCTGCATAAATGTTTAAGTACCTACTAACCCAAAAAAATCATAGGAAAAGGACAGGCTTTAACAGACCAACAATTGCAAATGCTCTAGTTATGTTAGGTGGTGCTACCTAACATAACTAGAACCTCGAATGGATTATTATAGTGTAGATTAAATAATAATTTTACTTAATTATATGTTGTAGCTGATAGTATTAACATTTGCCCCCCTGAACACACAAAAGTCTTCTTGAAGGCATGATTTATTCCTTTTCTGCATGTATTCAGTAGAATACTTTTTACAGCATTTAACAGATTGTACATAGTATAACATAGGCTGGTATTTATTTTGTCCGCTTTACGCTACAAAATATGTGTTACTCTTTTAGTATTGGAATATATTTTTTATCGTATAAAGTTTCGGCTGATTTAAATTTGATTAACAACTAAAAAGGCACTTTAAAGACACATATTTCGAAAAGACTAGAAATTGGTAAGTAAACAGCGCTTAAAAAAATATTTGAGAAAAAATATGCTTAAAAAGTAATTTGCGGTTTTACACCTTAAAGAATGGCGTTCGCAAGAGTTATCGGGCATCAAAACGTAATGAGATTGGTCCATCTGGTGCGTTAATCAGTAGCGACTTTGAGTCCAAAACAGAACCATTCCATTCGATCTTGTATCTTCTGACGAGCTGCATTCAAGGCCCATTTGGTTCAGTTTGGGTTAGTTATTGCTGCAACTAGACCTACCTTTAGAAGCACAACTAAAATGTTCTGCTCCGCTAAGTGGCGAGCTATACAAGCCCTCGGCCCATGTCCAAATGGTAAAACTAAAAATGGATGTTTATTCTCATAGAGGGGATGGTTTTTCAACCAGCGTTCCGGCTTGAACTCGTGCGGACAAGCAAAGTATTTGTCCAGCCGGCAGGAAATTTGGTTCTGACTTACTACGACAGTCTGAAACGCAATTGCGGGTGTTGAATGATTTAGATGAAGTCAAGAAGTTCACTCACATCCTTAGGAACTTCGTACTCTGAAAATACTGCGCTTTCATTCAATACCCTTCCAACTCCCACGGAGATTGGCCGAAGCCTAAACAACTCCTTCAGGGTGGCTTTTGCGTAATGGGCCTGATTCAACACTTCTTCAGTGACTGGGCTCTGTTTCTCTGGCAATAGCTTGATTACTTCCTCAAATAAAGCCAGCTGAACTGATGGCGATTTGCCCAAATGATAGAGCAGAAAACTTGTGGTATACGATGTCTGAAATGCTTCAAGAAATCAGCGCGAGCAAGATATTGATCCCGATGAACTTACAGTGTCGATTCCAGCAAGCAAAAAATCACACACTGTTCCTATAATATCTTGAAAGTCCACATCAGGACATGCGAAATACTGTTGAAGTAAAGTGAGATGTTGATTAATGTTGTTGTCGGAAAAAATTGACATTTTTAAGGAGAGAAGGTCAATGGCAACTCTGAAAAATGTGCCAGGAATCTTCAATATATTAATATATGGTGATGTGTCGATTTCAATTTTCAATGGCATTCAAAATGCATTATTTATTAGGGCACATATACATATTTAGCTTCAATTTCCTCACCTAATAAGCTGTGTTAAATTCACTTACTCTTCCATGTAAAGTTGACTGCGTTTCAGCCGTTTGTACATGGGGGTATTGAATTTTCTCCACAGCTGCGGGCCATTGTCCAGCTTCAAAATGCAGGAATTTGCCTTGAAAGTGGCGTTAATTAGCTTTGTTGATGTGGAGTACTTATTGAGCTCGGCTCTGGAAAAGGTTCTCAGTCGCAAATCTAATACTGCATAACCGGTTACTAAATGAAAAAATCGATTATTAGTCTTTAAAGCACTTGGATTGATTGATTTGCACAAATAACTTTTTGCGGCATACCAGAACTCGACACACTTCACCATTACATACATTCTAAGAAGAGCCTAGAGAGTTCTGGTAAAAAATCAGTAGTTGGTTTTTTTCTAACAACTTCCACCCGTTCTTCCAGCCATTCGTTGATTATTTCATCCGAGCCATCCAAGAAGTTCTTAACGGCTCTCGGGCCGCTCAGGCCCTTTTGAAAGGCTTTTCGTATCCGAAGCCAATCAGGGCCATTTCTATCAATGGAGAATTTAAGGAAGTTTCACAGAAGTTAAATCCACCAGCAGACCTTACGTGGGCAACAATCCACCAGTATTGTAAACGTTGGGACGATCTAATCGAAATTTTTCCAATGCCAAGTGGCTACGTCTTTGAGGGTATTTTCCTTCGCAGCGGTACATCATCTCAATGTCTTGCGGATCGAACAGCCAGAGTATAGTAACGCCTGGTACCAATTCTTCTTTAACTACCGGGCCATATTTCTGGTATTTTTTTAAACCATTGTGGTGGAGCTCTTTGAACTTATAATTACCTAGAATGGGTTTTGATCACTTCTTCAATATATTTGCTTCCAGGACTAGAAATACTGATAGAGCGGAAAGTGTAGGAATATATTAGAAACAAATTCAATTTTCAAATGCAATGCCATTTGTTGCAAAAACCGACTGACTCAGAATATTTCGTCCTTTTAAATGCTTCTTCAAGATTACGGGAGAGCCTCAAGCTAACCGATCAACTGCAGTCGAATTTATCCAGGACGTTTTTAAACTAGCATCAAATAACACTCTTTTTCTTAAACTACACTACACATTTTTACCAGCGGTAAGATGCAAATTTGTACCTTATCGCTGCATTTACTTACTCGCAGAATTTCAATGCGAAATTAAATTTTCCAAAACTGATCAAACCAAGGGTTTTTAACCTTTTAAAAGCTTTAAGATTTTCGGAGTTTGACGGAGCTACAGCCGGATTCATACAGCGATTTTTTAAATTTGCAACTCAAAACATTGTTTTACTTAAAACTCGCTCAATTTTCCCAAACTGACTGAACAAGATTTCCGGAGTTACTCAACGCTAACGGAGCGACTGGTGTATTAATCCAAAATTTAAAAAATGGAACTCAAAACTCGCTAAATTTAAATGCGTTTTTTAATTTTCAAAAACCGACTGTTATTAATTATTACTATTAAATTACTTGTTTATTTTTCGCACGGTAAATGCAAAAGCTTCAAAAGATTGAATTCAAACCAAAGTCCTTTCTGAAAAAATTCTGTATATTTGCTTCAGAAAATGGTTTGTATTTTCCAGTCCATTTGAAAAACAAATTTAAAAAAATAACAAACGACAGACTATGAAAAAAAAGGTGTAAAAGCTGCACAAAAATGGTGATATTGAAAGCATAGACATCATTTCTCCGAGGACAAAGGAAGGTTTTCCACTCATCCGAGAGGAAAACACTTTTTCACAAGATAAAGAAAATTTTGAATGAGTAAAAAGTGATCGAAAACGGCATCTACACAAGGATCACCACTAAGAAAAGTTGTCAGTAAACAGATTAAGGTAACAGCATACTGTTAAACTAGAAAACGACCAAATTTTTATTCGAAAATTGGCAAAATAAAAAAAAGTAACTTACCTACTATAGGTAAATACTGATACAAAGTTCCAACTACTGGCAGGGTTTTGGGGCCAGGGATGCTCGAAAAGCTTTTCAAGCCTCTGATACAAAAAGTTAGAATTCCACTGGCACAATTGTTTAATTTTGGAACTTGCAACCACATATTGAAAAAGTAAATTGTAAAACCAATCTCGATTCTCACGGTTAAAAAACGAACATGAAACAAGCAAAATGTAATATATAAATTGATAAAATAGTCAATAAACAGCCGGATAATTTTGTTAAAATATCAGTGGTACATCAGGCCGTCATATATGAAGACAAGAAACCCATAGATGAAGACAACTAGAAGAAACCCCTGACTTATGTGGTTATGTTTGATTCACATTCACAGTAAATAAATGGCAGAATGTTTAAACCATAGATTTTACAACTAAGACAAGGAAAGAACCTCCTGATCTGACATTCCTTGTCTAAAGACTACGCAAATTGATAGACAGGATCGGACTGGTCACTTTCATTAAAGCGATTTTATTGAAAATCTCTGATCTCCCTCCAAGTTCCATTGCAGCCAACACTTGGAAAGTCTGATATTTTGGGCAAACATTACATAATGGCGAATGACGGCTTAATCAGTTCCTGTCAACTTCAGATTTGTGGGCTTTGAACAGATTTTTTTTTTCTGTGTTGATTTAAAAAGAGGGGTTCGAGTGTATATAAGGACCTGAAATAACAAGGATGGCTTTCTCCAGACTCATTGCTAGTCGGGCTTCGCATGGGGCGAAAACCCTGCTCAAACGCTACCAGAAACCACTGATTTTTCGGGCTACAATGGTAAGTTATGTCATCGGTTGGCAACGGTACCGGCTTGTTTACCTGGCATAAAAGTAATTATTTACCATAATTTATCTAATAAGATACAAACAAGCTAAAATCAATAAATACAAGTTGGACGATTAAGATTCTATGTGGGCTTTGACCTACAAGGATATGGACCCAAGGCCTAAGGCTACTGAATCTAATTATTTACAGGCAGACTTTCGCATTGAAAAGGACACTTTTGGGGAACTGAAAGTGCCCTCTGATAAATACTATGGGGCTCAAACAGTGCGATCTACCATCAACTTTGCAATTGGCGGAGAGTATGAAAGAATGCCAGTAAGTACATTCACTTTATGTTATTCATGTTAGGACAAAGCTACTGGGAGCAATGAACTTATATAAATACTTGGCAACTTTTTAAATCTGTAAGATTATTGATTTTTTTAAACAGCTGCTTTTTCTAGATAGTCTTTTTGGGAATCATCTACTTTTCTAGATTAGACCGCAATTATAGATGAGAAAACATTTAAATCTGATCTGTTCGTTTTAGTACCCCATAATCACTGCAATGGGTATCCTGAAAAAGGCGGCCGCCGAAGTGAATAAAGACTATGGTCTGGACCCAAAAATCGCCGAAGCAATTTCAAAGGCTTGTGATGAAGTCATTTCTGGAAAGTTGTACTGCGATCACTTTCCTCTGGTTATTTGGCAAACCGGATCAGGCACTCAAAGTAACATGAACACTAATGAGGTAAGCGAATATTATTTACATTATTCTAACAGGCACTTTGCAAGAGCAGCTACGTACCAGTTTCTTATGAAATATTTCAACACTTAAGTTGTTTATGAATTTAATTGGAATTGAACAACAAAAGCTATGGAACAATGGTGATTCAGCCTAATCTTGAACACTGTACTGTCGATTGAAAACAACTATAATAATGCTTAAATTGCATAATTTCTTTGCACCATGTGTTTGTGTATGGCAATATTTCAGCAAAAAAATCCCAATTATTTTAGCAAATGCAATGTAGAATGCACAGTATTTCAAGCTAAATATAAGGCGGGTTTCGTTACAGTATAAATATCGAAACGATCAAACTTGTTTGTGATTTCAAAACCTTTCCACGTCATTTCTTTTGTTTGTTTTGGTAATTGCGCGTTTTTTTTTCATTTATTCGATTCACATTTCTTATCGTGTCATATATGTATCCAGATTATTCGTACATTAGGTAATTAAAAGTTATCAATTTACATAAGCTGTTTTCAGCTGGTAATTAGTTGGATTTGAGAGTCATTCGCACTAAACACTTTTTTAAATTCAATTTCATTTCAAATATTTACATTAGGCGTGAGAGATAATTGAGAGATTAAAAGTGAAGCTTATTGTGCTATTTCCGGAATTTTTTCGCTTTGTATAGGAAAATCCACACGTGTTTAACAGCAGTTATTTTTTGACGCCTATAAAATAAAATAACAGAAAGTCAAGACTATTAGAATCAAATGTATGAAGTTATCAACTGACTTTGCATACTACTACTACTAAATTGGAAAATTCTTTAACACTAATATAAAGCGCGTCAAAACGAACGCAACTCAACAATGTTGTTTTCTGAAAATTTTCAGGTTGTTAGTAACAGGGCAATCGAAATATTAGGGGGCAAGTTAGGTTCCAAAACGCCAGTCCATCCAAATGACCATGTAAACAAGAGCCAGAGCAGCAATGACACATTCCCTACTGCAATGCACATTGCGGTCGCAATGGAAGTAGAACACACACTTTTGCCAGGTATAAGTTTTCGCATGCGAGATTTTCTCTGTTATTCTAGTGGAAAATTGCAATTGCAGGCTTGCAAATGCTGGGAGATTCGCTGGACAAAAAGGCGAAGGAATTTAAAGACATTATCAAAATTGGACGCACGCATACCCAGGATGCGGTTCCTTTGTCCTTAGGCCAAGAATTCAGCGGATATGTCACTCAAGTGCGATTTGGCATCGATAGGTATGAAGAAAAGGCAATGAGTTTTAAAAAATCATACTTCTCGGCAAAGTGTTTTTGGCAGGAACGCAGTACATTAGCATTTAATCAGACGTGGAACTTGCCAGTCAGATAATGAATCGAGAGTTTGCGTACTTTTTAAAAGAGTCTTGAGATCAGCTTTAATTGTTGCAAAGGACTCATAAAGCAATGCTTCTGATGCATTTGGAACTGGAAAGGTGTAGTTCATCACAGCGTGTTCCTAACAGTGAAATGGTCAATTCGTCCAAGAATTGCAGAAGACTCGCGCTATTGAAAGCCACCATAGGATGGGACATTCTGTCTCATCCGCCATACAGTCTAGACGTTGCTCATTCCGATCATTGCTTGTTTCACTCCCTATTAAAAAGATCACAAACTCATACACGCAAGAAAATTGTGATTTGTGTTCAAGGCGTGTCTTGATAAATATCTTTCAAAGGATTTGACGGCATGTTACTTTACATAATGCTTAAACTTTTACGACGAACTAAAATCCTGCATTATTTTTGCATAAAAAATTAAAACAAACAGGCGTCTTAAAACGGTTCTTTATCACTAGCTAATCACTATATATAATATAACAGCTAAAGTTTATAAATTGTTCCTTTCATCGTCAATCTATAAAGTTTGTTTAATTATCAGAATTAAAACAACGCTGCCCCGACTTCATATGCTGGCCCTAGGAGGAACTGCAGTAGGAACTGGATTAAATACCCGAAAAGGATTTGCTGAAAAATGTGCAGCAAAAATTTCCGAATTGACCGGATTGTGTTTCGTTACTGCACCCAATAAATTCGAAGCTCTCGCTTGCCACGACGCTTTAGTGGAAGTTTCTGGGGCCCTGAATGTCATCGCTTGCTCTCTTATGAAGATCGCCAATGATATCAGGTAGAATTGAGGAACTTAAAGTGGATATTAATTGGCATGATTTTCTGTCTTCAGATTTTTGGCTTCTGGACCACGATGTGGCCTCGGCGAGCTAGTTCTTCCCGAAAACGAACCAGGCAGCTCCATTATGCCTGGAAAAGTAAACCCTACGCAATGTGAAGCCGTGACGATGGTGGCCGCTCAAGTTATGGGCAATCATGTTGCCACTACTATCGGCGGATCGAATGGTCACTTTGAACTGAACGTATTTAAGCCAATGATGGCAGCCAACGTTCTCCGATCCATCCGCTTGATTGGCGACAGTTGCAAGAGCTTTACTATCCACTGTGTGGATGGAATTCAAGCCGACAGAGAAAGAATCGATAAGCTGTTGCATGAAAGTTTGATGTTGGTTACCGCATTGAATCCGCATATTGGCTACGATAAAGCCGCCCAAATTGCCAAAACCGCACATAAAGAGAAATCCACCCTGAAAGCCACAGCTATTAAATTGGGTATTTTGAATGAGCAGCAATTCAATGACTGGGTGAAGCCTGAGGAAATGTTGGGACCTAAATAAATTATTAAATCATATTATTTATAACTGTTATTGATTTGGTAATACTACTATTATTATTTATAATTATTTGGTTATTAATGTGTTAAATAAATTTAAAATTATTTGCTTTAATCTTTGTCAAATTGCGTATAATATCAAAGGTCGCATCAGCTTTGGCCTTTCTCGATAACTTGCTGGAACAAACAGCAGTTTTATCATTGCAAAGATGAGGGCCAGACTAGCAATAACTGTTCTTAATACAGTAAAACGATGTTATCATTCACAGGAGGGTTGCAAAGTAGGGCTTTTAGGGGTCCCTTTCGAAAAAGGACAAACTAAAAAAGGTGTAGCCGCTGGCCCGGAAGCAATAAGAAAACTGGGCTTAGTGGAAAGACTCGAGGAAATCGGTAAGTTGGGATAGAAGCCAATCAATAATCATCGTTCAGAAGGATAAATTAACACTATTTTTAGAAGGAAAACTTGATATCAAAGATTACGGCGATGTGTGTTACAAAATCGCAACTGATCTAAAAGAGAAAGATGTGCCGAATATGAAGGAATATGCCCACATAGCGGCTTGCAACCAACAAGTATCGAAGACAGTGGAAAAAATCATAAATGAAGGGCGAATCTGTGTCACATTAGGCGGAGATCACTCGCTCGGTGTTGGAACGGTGGATGGTCACATAAAGGCCAAAGGCGAAAATATTTGCGTTTTGTGGATAGACGCGCATCCGGATTTAAACACGAACAAAACATCCAGCACTGGAAATGTCCATGGAATGCCTATGGCCTTGCTAGCCAAGGAATTGTCTGATTATTGGCCCTATTTACCAGGAATGGACTGGCAAAAGCCGGTGATTTCTTTAAGACATATTGCCTACATTGGACTGAGATCTGTCGACTCTTACGAGCGATTAGTTATTGATAAGCTTGGTAAGAAATTTCCCAATTCTTACTTGACCTACAGTTGAAGAACTACGTTCATTTACAATCCGAACAAATTTTAGGTATCAATGCATTTGGAATGGAAGATATCGAAAATTATGGCATTCGAACCATCGTCGATATGGCTTTGAATAAAATAGACCCCGAAAGCAACAAATCCATACATGTTAGTTTTGATATCGATTCCCTGGATTCTTTGGAAGCGCCAAGTACTGGAACATCAGGTAAGACTTAGATAGCGACTAGCGAGAATTGCTGATGATCAAATTTGCAGTTAGAGGAGGGATGACTCTGAGGGAAGGAATCCAGCTAATGGAAATTATACACCAAACATGTAGATTAGGAGCTTTGGATGTAGTCGAGGTAAATCCGAGCATTGGAAGCGAAGCGGATGTAAAACGAACAGTGGACGCAGCTATTCATGTTATCGCAGCAGCTTTAGGACATTCCAGACGGGGTCTCAGCCCCAGATCAGGAGTCCTGCCCCTGCAAACCTTCCCTCCCAAGTACCAAGAGATTTGAACTATCTGTTTCGCTTAAAATAATTTATTTACAATAGAAGTACATTTCGAATTGCCTTTGCAATTTCCAATCAACATTAACATTCTTTATTGCTACCAACAAATTGTTCTTTATAATTCAAGCAAATGCTTTTATCACAGGTTGCAGTTGAATTATGCAGAGTGGCAGCATTTAAAAAGGCAAATATATTCGAAATATTTGTCTCGAATATTTTATACATACCTTGACCTAAATTATCTGAGCTTCCATTAATGGTTTATCCAATATGAAGCGATCAAACCCTAATCGGGTTAAATCTATTGTTTGAAATTTGCCATCCAGGATCATTTCTGCTACTCCTCGCCCGATTGCTGGCGCTTGTTGGATGCCTGCAATATTAATTATTGAGTCATTTTATTGGTTTTTCTGTGGGTGTGGAAATGCTGACCATGCCCACTAAATCCTGTAGCCAAATAAATGTTCGTGTAATAAGGATGTGGTCCAACAATGCCGTTTTCATCAAATGTGTTGTATTCGTAAAAGCCACTCCATCCTCCTTTCACCTTTTGAAGAAATCAATTGAAAAACTCTACAAAAGAATATGAAGATAATTACCTTGATGGCATTAAATGCTGGCACTCTGTGAGCTAAAACTGGCCATAACTTTTCGTGAAAGAAATCATAATTCACTTCCAGATTGGTGGTTTCAGGTTCTTCGGATGAATCAGGCGATATTCCACAGATAAATCGGCCTCCTAAACCATCTCGTCTAAAGTAGGCTCCTGTATGATCAATGGTCATTGGGGTGTTTAGTCCTGGGGGATCTTTTGCGCAATCAAAAGTATAAACGTATCGCTTTCTAGAACAAAACTAAGACTTAACGAGCTGTTGAAATCGAAGGCAAATTTGTGACTTGCCGTGGTTCTACAGGCAGCCGCAGTGAGAGAATTCCTTCTCCAGTTCCAATTTTAATCAATTCTGCTACTTTACCCGAATCAGCCCCAGCTGCAATTATACACAATGCAAACTCAATAAACTTGTGTTCTCCATTCGGCATTTTTACCTGAAAATTACTTTTTTTTGTAGCTACGAGCGGCCACTACGTAATCGAAGCGATCTTACCACTAATGTATTACTCTGTTCTAAAGTGGTTTCATGAATGCCCTCTATAACAAGATCTTCTCTTTTTTCAAACAAAAAGTCCACAACTTCCCCGTTGATATACTGGACCGCTTTTTCTTCAGCCCCTTTCTTCAGTAGCTGCAACAACGGCCATGGATCAAACCAACCTTCCTTCTCTAAACCAAGACATCCAACTGCCACATCGTCTACGTTTATCCAAGGAAACCTGAAATTCGTATAAAAAGAAAATTTAATAAGTGGTTTGAAGACAAAAAAAAACCCTTAAGAAAATAAATAATTTTTAAAGTAAAATTTTTAATCCACGCGGTTGAATCAATGAATTTACCCCATGCAATTAGTGGGCAATTTCTGACGAAATAAGCTCATTCATTAGCAAAATTAGAAAAGCCATCAACAGAAAAACATACTCACTTTAGGGGCAAGAGTCGTTAAATATAAACAATTTATCATTTTTTCCACACTGACCTATTCTTTAGTTGTTCCCGTGACAAAACAATATTCACTGCTCCCAATTCATTTTGTAATTTGCTGTTATCTATTAGCTGCTCTGCGCCTTCTTCACTAGCCAACATAAGATATCCATGGGGTGTAAAACATACGTCTGCTGATGGTCCAAAGCGATCCTTCAAAGTCCTAATAAACTCCGCCCCAAAAAGGGACATCTGAATGTTTTCTGGTAGTGAAAACTGCTGCCTTAAGCCACCAACCGACAAAGCTGTTGCGCTGTTTTTAAACTGCAATTACATTTGGCTGAACCAAACCACTTTTTGCCTATTAGGAGAATTCTTACGGTTAAGTCCTTGTCTATTACCAAGACTTCGAAGGAATTTGGGTTGGTTTTTTCCTTTAGCCAGTAAGCTATTGAGCTGCCAATTGCGCCTCCTCCTATTATAATAATATCGGCATGGACCGGGACTCCTTTAACAATTCGCCGTGGCTTAGGGTTGGTTAATTTATCATAAAAGTTTACTACATCATTCAACAAAACTCGTCCAGTTCTGTAAAATGGGTTTTCCATCTTTTTCTCATATTTGAACAGTTTTGTGCTTCTACTGAAGGACTTTTTTATCAAAAATCCTCTGGCAGTAAGAACTCCTACTTTTCCGAACAACATCTTGTCTCAACAGTTACTAAAGTACAAAATATTGTCATTTATATCTGGGCACTTGTGTTAATCAATTAAAACACTCACAAGTATTATTTTTTTATTTTGTAGATAACCCGACAATGAAGTCGGAATATAAAGGTTAAAGATTATCTCGTCTTCTGTATAGTCTAGTTTGACCTTTTCAAATGCAGGGTGGTACTGGTCGGCTTTCGATCGCTGATTATAGTGCTAGGCGTGGCATCTAGTAGCGTGAACTACTAAATTAAATAATTTTTTATACTAAAAATTAAAATATAATATGGCCTTGATTGCTCATGAGTAATATTAGACAAATTGCTGTTAAGTCGGCGACTTTCTATTTTTAATTCAAACTTTATTATATAGGGTGTTTCAAAAAGACGCAGCAATAACATTTTATAAACAAAGGCCTAGATGTATCGTTTTCAAGATTTACTGCTAATATTTTTTAATCATGATTTCTGACAAAATGTATCCGATTTCAGGTTAATGTTCATAACATTGTCCTTTTAAATATGTTTTTTTTAACAAAGCTGTATAAACAGATGTTTTCCCAATTTAAAATTAATTTTAGGTCAATATCTTAAAGTGAATAGACAGAAATTAAAATTTGGAACTGAAATGGTCAAAACATGGAATACCCTTACTGTACTGTATAGTTTAAAAGAAAAAAATATTGGCAGATTTGCGATTAAAAGTTCTACATCAAAACATAAGATGATAAATGAGAACTTAACGCGCATTTCTCTATAGTGAATCCAAATATGATTAAAATATTGTTGGTGAATTTATTTATTGTTGAACCAAAATTTTACGAACACCTTTACAATGACTCAAAATTCATATAAAAATAAATATCGTGGAAATGAGAATGTACATAAAACCTAAAATTATAATAAAGGTTTAGGTAAAAACATGAAAGTTTAGTAAAATTGATGAAATATGTCGACTGTTTTAACCGATGTATACCAACAAAAATAATTCCAAGTTAGCAGCAACTGCAAACATAGAACCATTTTTTAAATGATTTGAACTGAATATTTCTCATGAATGAAACTCAGTTTCCTGAAACCAAATGTAAAATAGGATTATTTTATAATGCACTATTAAAATTACGCATTAGTTAAACATAAATAGAACATTCATCAATTTGAACTATTGATGTACACATTGAAGATTCGTCTCTTGAGGATCTTCGTCATCGCTTTCATACGCGGCGCCGCCTTTGAAGTTGGAATTTCCAGAAGTTCTTTCATTTGGATCATAGTCAACTAAATCCACTTCTTCTACATGTTCACCTTCTGGCATAACAAAAGCTGGTTTAGGAGGCAACAAGCCTTCCAACACCTTTAAAGTTGGCTCAGGCACAAAGTAATTCTTAGGGAAAGCAACGCTAAAAGTGATGAACAGATTTCCTTTTTCGAAGGGGTTTTTGTACATTGGCATTCCTTCGCCTTTCACAACTTTGGTAACATTTGGTACAATAACATCGCCCCCTGATTGCCTAATGTGAAGCTGGCGAGCATCGAGATGATCGAGTAAAAACGAGAACCCACATAGAGCTTCTGTCAATGGTATTGTGTGCTTCATATGCAAATCATTTTCACGCCTTTCAAAAATCTCATGAGGCGTCTGTTGCAAAACAATGACAACATCACCAGGCTCGGGCACATCAGGCTGCTGATCGCCCTCTCCTCTGAACAGGATTTTCTGATTGTTCTTCATACCTTTATCCACATGTACGTCCAAAACTTTCGTTTGAATCGTTACCTTTTTGCCTTTGCATTTACCACACTTGTCTTTGTCTTTGAATACTACTCCACTGGCTCGGCAATCAGAACAAGGAGATTGGACCTGGAACAGATTTTCATAGTTAGTTCAACAGTTGAGAAATTGTGAGTAAATCGAGCTCAAGTTATTCATTCTGCCACAAAAAGATTATGCTGAGATGCAAGAGTCCATTGATGTATTCGAGATTCGTCATTAAGAAAAATAAAATTTTCAGTTTTTATGATTTCTCATCGGTTCATGAAATTGATTTGGCTTTGAATTTATCAATTGAAGTCGTTTCGGGGCTTTGATTTTATCAATTCCTTCTATTCCGAATTATTACACTATCATGTTTGTAGAGAAACTAGAGGGAATTTTTTGCATTATTTAAGAAAAACATGCTGTTAAAAGAGCGATACGAAACATTTGCAAAAATTGCAGCAACAGCAAACAATTAATAAATTTGGTAACATCCACACGCAAATGTAATGTAAAAAAGCCAGTTTAATTAATAAGCCCCCTTTGCTGCAAATTTTTTAAGCGAATTGTCCATCAAAGCCTAATAACTAGAGAAGTAATTAAATAAATTCGGGATTAGAGAATAACACTGAAGATAGGGAGGAAACTATATAGACCTGAAATACCGGAACAAGTGTGGCACACAAAATATACAGCCGAGAAAAAAATCAAAATATATTTACCTGTTGTACCATGCCTGGGCCGATAGCCCGGTAAGTGAGTTTCATACCACAGCCATTACAAGACGTACATTTTCCAGCAGGCTGCCCAGATTTGCTGCCAGTTCCATTACAAGTGACACAAATTACATTCTTGCTTAATTGTAGTTTGCATGTTTTACCATTGTACAGGTCGTTCAAGGAAACCTTTAAAGGATGGACTGTGTCTTCGCCACGCTGTGGCCGCCGACGTCCCCCAAAGCCTCCGAATCCGGCAAATGGACCGCTGTTTCCGTAGAGCTGCGAAAACAGATCGTGGGGCGCAAAACCTCCATCGTCATGGTGGCCTTCTTGCAGCCCTTTGATTCCAACTCTGTCATATAACTGTCTTTTCTTTGTGTCCGATAGAATTTCATAAGCGTAACTAATTTCTTTAAATTTATCTCCAGCTTCTGGGTTCTTATCAGGGTGGAACTCTTTAGCTAATTTGCGGTAGTTCTGAAACACAAAAAAGGAAAATGTGAAGATTCACGTTGTTCAATTATTGTGTAGCCTTGAGAATTTGTCTAAAGTTTTAAGCATTGCATCATCCCATAGAGCCAAGGATTTCGGTGCCGCTTTACACGGGAAAAGGAGAGTTACTTACCTTCTTAATTTCGGTTTCAGATGCATTTCTATTTACTCCTAAAATATCGTAGAGCTGATTGTCTGCCATCTTTCCAAACCACCGCTAACAGCCACTCCGTCAAACTGAAAGAAATGACACCCGCTAGACATGTGTCACACTCTGACTTGACACGAGGAAGTGTGGTTTTCGAAAGTGGTACCATCTGAGCGTACTATTTCACACTACAACTGTAGTGATATGAAGTAAAATATTTGAAGACTACAAATAAGTATAATAATATAATAATCGTAGATTAGTATAATCGAGAATAGCATAATCGAGATAAATAAACGTATCGTTTTATGTCAAGGAATTGGGTAAATGGAATGACCAAATGTTAGTTAATAAATGTTTATTGAGATAATTATCACGTAGAGTAACGGGCTACAAAACATTGAGTTCATTTAAACAAATAGAAAATTCATTAATAACGGCCACTCACTCAATCTCGTCTGCTCTTATCCCACTAAAACAAAAGAAAAATACACAACGTTCCCGCTTAATCACTCTCATCGTCCCCACTGGCGTCGCTTGCTTCAGGTGAACTGAGGATTTCCTCCTCATCTTCAAGTTCCTCATCGCTTTCTTTTTTCTTAGATTTTGATTTGCTATCGGGTTTCTTTGGTGCCTTTTTTGTGTCTTTTTCATCATCACTTTCCTTCTTTCTCTTAGTTCCCTTTGCATTCTTATCGCCGGCATCAGCCTTCTTATTATCTTTGACGGGTTTCTTCTTTTTGTCCTCGTCTGAACTGCTGTCCGACTCCTCGATAAATTCTTTGCTCTTAAAGGTTCCTGAGTTACTCAACTCTGGCACTTTGGTCGCCGACTTTTTCGCTGGTTTTTTCGAAGTTGCACTCTTGGAGGAGGATGATTTTGCGTCCGCGCCGCCTAAGAATGGAAAACAGTGAAACTACTAACCAATTGCTATTAGCTTTCTATTTACCTCCTGATGCAACGTATTCGGCCATGGCCTTCGTGTATTCCTCCTTTTCTTTAGCTGCTTTTTTCTCCCATTCACTTTTATCCTTCATTTCCCTCCACATTTCTCCACCCTTTTTGGCTATTTCCGTCACTTTGATACCGGGGTTGTCTTTCTTTATTTGTTCCCTACTAGCATTCAGCCAGATCATAAATGCTGTCGACGCTCTTTTCGGTTTATTTTCATCCTTTTCCTTTTTCTCTCTACGTTTTATTGGTTTTGATGAAGGGGCTTTCGTAGGTTTCTTCTTTTTTTCCTTTTTCTTTTTCTCCTTTCTTTCACCCTCATCTGAAAGTCATAGTCAGCTACAGTCAGTTACAGCAATTCGCTTGTTGTTATTTAGGCGTGAAACTCACCGGAAGCATCTTCGTCTTCATCGCTAGCGCTTGAACTTGGGTTGCTATCAAATTCTTCAGCAACGTCACTGTCCCGCTTTTTAATCGCATCTGGATCGAAATCTTCATCTGTGCTCTCATCATCGTCGTCATCGTCGTCGTCTTCATCTCTTTCTTGACCTACCCGGGTAAGCAAATTAGTACAACCACTTTAAATAGTCGGCGAAATATACCTTCTGCTTTCACGCGCTCCAGGTAGGCATCAGGAGCAGCTTCTTCATCGGAATTTCCAAAGTCATCCTTATAGGAAGCTTTATCCTTAAAAAAAATATTTGCCATATATTACAATAATGCTATTTCAAATTGATAGATTACTTACTCCTTTTCCTCTGTTTTTAATGTTGAGTTTCTTCGACGTGATGAAATCATACAGTTTCGAATATTCTTCCTTTTCAATGCTGCTGAACGTGTGAACAGTGCCCGATTTTAACTCAATTTCGAAATCAAAGGATCTCGTGCTGCCTCCACCTCTGGCAAAGTTAACGGAAGCGATTTCCTCAAATCGAATGTGAAGTGGAGGTTTATGCACATAAATAAACCCTCTTTCAAGTGGATATAAAAAGCCAGCAGCTGCTTTGAATGAACAACCAATTGCAGGTGTCCCACTATGACTAGAATGAATGAAAATAAATTAATTATCCGAAATTAAACAATCACCTTTCTCAACAGGACTATGGAATTTTTTTTTAACTTTTGGCCCTCTTGTCTTAGAAAACATCCTGCATAATTTATGTAACTTTACTTACCCTATAAAACTACCGGGTCCCGTAAGTTTTCTTCCTACAACATGCTTCATTATTTTGCCCAAAACTTGATAGGTAGGTCCAGACACTTCCTTCTCAAGATTTCCTTCGTATTTCTCCTTCAATTCTTCTCTGAAAGAAATAAAATTATTCGATATTTAAGAAACATACCAATGCTTTATGAACTTACTCTGTAAACGGTAATTCTAGTGATGTTTCGTCTTCTTGGTTAAAAAGAAAAACAATAAAATGGTACCTAGTTTGACCCTGTTTGATTGGAGGATCTAAACTAACAACGAAGAACATTTGCCTGCCATCTCTATGGGGTAATATAAACAGGCGCAGCACTGTGGTTATCGGTATTTTGTAATCAAAAGTTTTACCGTGAAGTTGGAAGAACGACTGATAAAGTTTTATATCATATCGACCACTAAAAATTGAATTGAAAATTTGATTAAGTAGTGCAGATTATTTTCAAGAAAGCAAACTAACCGAGGGGTAGTACAAAGTAAGTCCCGAAATATTGCTATAGCGTCTCCTGAAATACTTATAACACTTGCTTTCGACATGACCTGTTCTTGGAAAGCTTCCACTGGATCAGTATCTCCAGCCAATTCACTTGCTGGAATGAAGAAACGCATTTCCATCAGGCTCACTGGAGCATCATCGTTCTACAATAAGTAGTCGGTCATAATCTGGTCAAAAAATGTTACCCATTTGCTTTACCTGATGAAACTCCATTGTAATTTCGTTTTTTCCAACAGTACACTGAGACACATGATTTAAGGGCACTTCAAACGCACTTTTATCGCCAATATCGAAACTTAATACCGAACCGCTAAACTTGGCTGTGCCCCAATTCCACCCCTTAAGACTCAGTTCCTTCTCTAGCATATCGATTTTATAAGAATTGGAAAAGAACTTTGCAATTTTTTCCTTTTCGGACTCCTTGAATCCAGCATATCTGTGTAGGGTCCCATTTTTCAGAAACACCCTAATGCCCCAACTTCCGGCAAAATTCTGGAAGTTAACAGCTTCGAATTCAGAAGCAGGAACTTGGTCCACTTTGCCTGTTTTGCTGTTTTTGAAAATGATACTCTGGTCGGTCATTTTCAGTTTTCCTGGTGTCTAAAATTAAGAAAAAAGTGAGAAGATAGTAAAATATTTTTTCATCTTGATGTTTTGCCAACACCAAAGAAGAAATTAGATGGTTCTTAAGATGCAAGCTATTTGCATTTACTGGGATATTGCAGAGCAAGAGCCGCAAGTTACAAAAGGCTTAACGGCTGATGAATGAGAAGAATCAATCAAACACTCTGAGATTGCTCTGCTTTTGTAATAATAATCTATTATATCCGCATTTTCTTTTCACGGAAAGTGCTTTAATTTTATTGTACTTAAGAGAAAATTAAAAAAATCGCGAAACTCCGCCAGACATAAAGTGCATGAGCACCCTTAAATTATTTCGTAAAAGTAGTCGGTACACTTCTTACCAAAGATCCCTTGATCTCTGCAGATATGTCGGAGTATTCCAAAAAGTCCATATTAGATCGTTACTTTGGATCAACACGGTAGATACAATAAAAACTTCAAGACGCTTCTTGAACTGAAGTAATAGCAATTTGAAATTAAACTACCCGGTGTGCTTTTTGTTGCTAAACGTTTTCAGCAAGTTGTTAGACATTGAGGTTAATGACAACCATAGATGATGACAATTGACGCTATAATGGCGGGATTTTCAAAGGAAGACCGCGTTCGAAAATGTATCGTTGACATCTACAGATCTTATTTATAACTAGCAAGTAACTTCTCTAGTGGGATATGACATAGATTAGATGGTGTTGCAGGCACTGTTCGGTTATAATGTGAAATAATAATTAAAGAAATATCAAATAACAAAAAACATATTTAGTTTTTTTCGTGATTTTTATACATAATTTTAGTATCTTTTAAAATTGTTCAACTTGGGTTAATAAACACAATATGCAAGCAGATGAAGTTAAACATAAATTTCCAAAACTTTAAAAAACGTTTCCGTTTTTTATAAATACAGTGTTGCTTGTCTTCGTTGAACTGTTTATCATAATTTTAATTTCATTATTTTAAATATTTCTCTATCACTCTATGAGCCAAGGCCTTCCAATGAATTCATCAGTCCTATGACATCATAAGGTGCCTTATAGGTTGCGTTAGTTACCTTAGATCTTCACATGACGCCTTTATGACCTTATAATGAAAATATTACTTAATTTTGTCAGCCATGTGATGTAAAGGAATGAAATAAATATTTTTCTTCACGGAAGTCAATTTCTTTCGTCACCAATCATTTGCGTCTTTTTAATTTACTGATGGTTTATTTCCAAATTACGCTTTTACACAAGGTTAAGAATCAATAAAGTGAACCATTCCAGGAGGTAATTCTTTGCTGAATAAAAAATGTAGTTTCGCAGTTATCTTAGATCACTTAAGCCGTCAATTCAAGCAATTCGTCCGGCGCGTACGAACTGACACATCTTCAACCAATAGAAACACTTTCGTGTCATCGTACCATCGTATGTATATCGTATGTATATCGTACGTATACGTACGGTCGCATGGGACATGGGCTTTAATCATTAGGAAAATGTCGCGATGAAATGATGACAAAACATTAGTTTTTCCTTAGAAACAAGTAGCGAGAGAATGATAAAATGTTGTGGATCTGTTACGGTCATCTAAATTTAGGTACTCGTGACAATTTCAAATTTTTAAGATTTATAAATTAATTGGAAAGTATTGAGATAAACTGGTCTTTTTTGCGTTTCTGAACTGAACTGAAAAGGCGATTTAAATAATATAATTTGGGAGATATTTTACTAAATGAAATTAAAATATGTTCAATTTTCTAAGGTTTAAATTACAAAGAAACCGACCTGTGCTTAATTGCTCTTACCGCATACAAGCGCGTCGTCCAAATATCTGTCAATTTCTCCACCAAACTAGTACATTGATTGCTATACTGACAAAGTACTCAAAATAATGAGAAAACCTCCAAAATGTCTTGATAACACTGTAAAGTCAAAATTGTTTTGTGTCATTTAGTAGGCGCATACTAAGGGGCCGAGTCAGATTGACAGCACACGTCAGAAAGTTTGCGATATAAAAAGCCGCATATTCCAGCTAAAAGCTAAACTCATATTCCTGATTAAGGAAAAACCGTAAAATCCTAGAGAAAAACGGGCTTTTATCCGGAAAAATATGTCGATTTTTCGAAATCATAATGGCGCGAACCGCCCAGGCACAAACAAACAGGAACTCGAATAAAAATTCACGAAAGCAAGCCAATAATCATATAAAATTATACACGTTTTTAAAGAAATATTCACTTTGCTTAAGACGCTTTTAAGATTGTGAACTTTTAAATCTTACAGCCAACAGTCTGTCTGTATTGCAATACGTAAAAAATCTTTATTTGTCGTTTCTTTATCTAATTATCGAGGAAGGTTCTGGCTGATTTAATATGTTAAAGTTTAAAACGAGTAACAGACACAAATAAAAGGGGATCACGTCAACTACTTAGGTAGGTACAGTTTTAACATGCACGTTTGGAATCAGTGCCAACTATTCAGCATTAAAAATTACTCATAAATTGGACCATTAGGGCGGGAACGTTGGAAATTCTTCCAACTTGTAGTTCAGATACCTACCTAAGGTTCGCTTCGTTCCCTAATAACAAGTTAATCTAATTAATCGAGCAGACAATGACCTCAGTGCGGCTTAGTCAAAGCTGACTTAGCTCGTTTGACAGGTTGGCATTTGACATGTTTGATTGTCAAATATTTTGACAGATTTTTTGAGTGATTCTAAGCAAACGTGCTGTAGTGAGAGTTGGAAGCTGGAGCGCAGCTAATACGATCCAGATTAGCTTCAGATGTATGCTCCTTGACTATTCAACTAACATCCAGAGAATTGTGTGCGAATCAGGAATTTTCTTTGCATGAGGTGCTTTGGAACCTTGATGACCCCATCTGGAAAAAGCCTGGCACCGCATCAAAAATCTAATAGAAGATAAACAAGCACGTTGCGAGTTGCGATGCTTTTCCGGATTAACTTCTAACAGAAACCAAATAATCCATCTTGTGTGTCCTGGATATCGCGCTCGACGTGGTGACGCAAGAACATTTGAAGCCGAAGGCGAAGCGAGTGGGAGCACCGAGGAAAGCGGGCAGCCAAACTTCGCGCAATCGAGAAGTCGATGGCGTTTTAGGTGTTCGCGTTTCTTGCGTGAAATTTCTGGATCAGCAACCAGTTGTCTATCCAGCCCATTCACTCGGTAAGTCTGCACGCTCAAATCTAGGTATTTTCACCTCTGGCCAATATAGAGGCTTTATTACGAATGCGTCCATTGGACGTGAATAGCAATAGAGCCATCCGCGTCATCATCCAAAGCCCACCGCATATAGCAATTAACATTCGTTTATTTTCATTAAGAGCTAAAACTGTTCAGTGCCTGCTGGCCACATGCTCTAGTTTAGTTGATGGTTTAACCTATATAGTTTAAACAATTTATGCGGTTCTTGTTTTTCTACAAAATCAACTCTTCGTAACGTGCGTTCGTATAGGTTTTGCGATAACACCGCTTATCAGCTCGAGGTTGGATAAAATCGAGCGGCGCCAAGGGGGAGTCCAACTATGGTTACCTAAACTGAAATCATAATGAGTACAATACAATGTCTGACGCTATTTAGGACGAAGTTCATTACATGTACATTTCTATTGTGTTTGCAGTTTTCGTATTGGGGCTCTTGCGTTCAGGTTCAATTTCTGGATCGTCCTCCACTGTAGGTTGTAGGGGATCCTCATTCATGATTTTATTGATCACCCTGTATATTAGAGGATTTGTTCAAATTTTACAAAAAGTTCTGAGTATATTGCACTTTCTGACGTCGATAGCGGGAAAATGGTTAGTTGGAAAAGTAGACGTTGTTTGCTCAACATTTAAAAACAACACGCAAAAACATTTAGTGCGTATTTAAATTTAACAGAAAATTAAGACGTGTAACAAGAATAAATAATAATTTAACAACTTGGAATTTTCACATCAGTGCCACCTCTGTGACCAGTTTCGGTTCTATCAGCTCTCATCAGCTGTGTTTAGCATGCAATCAACACTCCCGGAGCCTGTAGTTATATTATCTCGCTCATATGTTTACATATTATTTCTTTCTACTTCTGGATCAATTAGAAGTCTTCGACTAAACTCGACACAAAGTTGTTCAAAATAATCAACAGTAAAATAAGGCGTTTGTAAGTCTGCAAACGTTTATACTTTAAAGGCGCTGAAAAAACGGCATTGAAATCCTCTCTTCATGGATTGTTCAGACACGATTTCGAGATCTCTTCAAGCACAATAAACGCGAAATTGCCCGTTCGCTGGATGGAAGCGATTTTATGCGCCCCCTATAATTGGAAATTTTGGTAATTAACAACCCCATTCTCATACATACTTAGGTATAATTTTTAATTGCGCGATGCATGATGCGCTTTTTTATAAATTTTTGATTCTAATATTTTCATTCTTGACTGGTTTAGTTCTCTACATTTTTTTGCTATGCCGCATTAAAAATATTGGGCGTTTATGGAAATTATTTATCAACCTTAGTAACTTTTGGTTGCAATTCCAGTCTTAGGAACATCGACTCGAAAATAACACCTGATGAACCACTAAAATCGCGGAAGAAATGCTGTTTTTTGAAGATCAAATCACATTTAACATCATCAACATTTAAATAACCACTAAAACACTCGTTTTTTTAAAACCTTGCAAAAGCAGTTTGTCTACTTCGTCTCTCTTGATCAGAAAACTTTATCTGAAAGTTAATGTTAATATTTACCTACATCTACTTCTGTTTTTTACCTACCACTCTTGGGATTTGCAATAAAAAAAACAAATTCATTCACCTATTTCTTCTCAAAAACTACTTTCCAATAGAATTAAACTGACTTAAAAAAATATTCTTTAAAGCAGCTTTATTTGGTACAAAAATTGCCTGCTGTCCCAAGTATAAGCCCTTTCTACAATCTGAAAGTTGCTGTAGTAGAATCAAAGTATTTTTAAACTATTTATTTCTTTAGGCTAATTAGGAATTTCTAAGAAAATTCGTTGTCGTTTCAGCATTTTTTTTTATTCCAAACAATCTAATGGTATTTCACTGAATTCAAAAGTTTCGCGTGCAATTACGACCAACGTCCTCAAAACCAATGCACTTGTATAGCATATAGACAGAGACTTTTCTCTATCTAAAGAAAAATGCATGAAATATTAGAAACTTGGTTTAAAATAGTCACTGGCATATTTATGTTTAATTAAAATCGCTATTAATAAAATTAAAAATGGAATCGAACCACTAGATCCGTTTATAGAATTTTCATTAATTTGAAATTGAAAAAAAAACTAAATTTTTTCTTGGTGTTTTGGAGTCATCTCCATCTCCGTTGGTAGGAACATAGAAAATATAGAGCTAATGTGGGTTACAACCTGAAGTTAGAACAGTTTAAAGCACTTTATATGAAATGAGGCGTCATTTTTTCTGCGTTTATTTGTACAAAAAGTGTTTAAACGTGCTATATTTGAAGTGTTATGGGTTTGAGCAGGTTTTTCAGCGCTCCAAGTACGATATACTTACGGTATAAACAATTATAGCAATCAGAAAACATTGAACTTTTTGGGGAGGTAATTAAAATGCCACAAGTTGATTTAGGCAAAGAATGTGATTCGAAAATAGATATTTCTCAGGTAAACAATTGCATTTTCGGTAGTTTTACTACATTGCGCTTTCTGTTTGATCCAATATCCAGAATATTGAAAGCAATATTTATCAGCGACGATGTCAAACTCTATGTTTCTTTATACTCGTAAAAATTTGATCTTGAAAGAATGGTAACACAATATGCTTTTCTATTGTCCCGCAGCTATTTAGAGACTTCTTCAGCTTATTGCTGTTGCTTATGGTTTTTAAATAAGTACATATTTAAGACAAAGTTGACAACTTTTCGCTTTTGATTAGCTGTAGATCTTCAACAGCAACTTGCTCATTATTTAATAAAAATTAGAAAGAAGAAATATTTTTTAGAAAGTTAAAAGGTCTTTGGGGCTCATTAATGAAAAAAACTGATTACAATAAAATCGTTCTGCCTTGCGTCCCGAAGAAATGTCGATTTGGAAGTAGACACTCACTTCGCAGGCTTAAGTTAATCGAAATGCCGATTGGTGGGTTTTGGGATCGGAAAATTCGTTTTGCTAGAGTTCCGCCCATATCAGTCTTTATACTCCAGCTGTATGAATGCTAAAGAACTACAGCGGAAGTTCGTGCTTGATAAGATACGCAAAATATTTACCATAACTGTTTCGTGGCCAAGATAATAATGTAGGTTTGTACAAATCGGGTTGGTTATGCTTGCACAGTTCCCATCAACACTTTTGTTTCCGATTAGGCTTTTGGTTTATTACAATTTTGTCTTAGCGGAACCGCCTGCCTGAACAAATAACAGACAGTGTTTTTTTGTTTTTCTCTCTGAGTTAAAGCATAAAGCGCTTCCATTGCAGATTCAAAACCACTAAAAAATTAATCCGAACTATCGATAAATGGAACCCTTTGTCCACATTGGCGTGCTCCTCACCCTCTGTCCTGTTGCAGAGGGGTGACATGGGATAACTTGCTGCGTCCTCGGCAATCGATGATTTCGCTACCACCTTGCCACTTCTACGGATTCCCAACAAGCTTGTGTGTGGATCGATAGTCCATGAAGACTACTTTGGTTCATGTTTGTGTCATTCTGTAATGCGACCGAGTCTTCTATTTCTTTTACTGATTGCCCCGGAAATTCACTTTTATTTCTATGGATTCCTATAAGATTCTAACAAGGGTTGGGTAGTCCAGTTGAATGTACAAAGAGAATATGATGATGACAAAATAGAATAGTGGGTTTTCGAAATTTTACAAGTAGCAAAGCCGCAGGATTTTGTGGTTATTATTCTAGTCATTATTTTCTATTAATGCTTTTTGTTTTTTTTCCTGTTAAGTGTTCTTAATTATTCACTATCATTAGATAATTATTTCTCCACCCCGGAGTGAAACCAGAGGGATGAATTGGGAAAAATGTCGTTTTGCTGGTTCATTTTATAAAAGAGAAAACTGAAGCAGAAATGCACTATTTGATGTGAACATTTTCTCAAGATATCAGAAGAATTATTTTTGCTCTATCGCCTCCAAATGTCTACTTTTTGAGCAAATAATGTGTCCTCAATTTTGTATTTTTTTCCAAAACAACCAAGAGGGTTGAATGTTTCATTTGAAGCCATTTAAATAGAAAATCTACCCCTTTGAACAAACTTCATGTAAAAACAGAACAGCGTTTGAAATGTTTGCATTATTTTAATTTACAAAAAGTTATCATTTTATTATGTTTATTTATTTATGGTTTTCTGTTCTGTTCTTGTTTTTTGTCTGAGACTTGGAAATTAGATTGAACGTAATGGTTTCTATTACGTTGAAGGAAGCTTTTCTCAATTTCTCCTCGAAGCCACCTAGCAATTGTATTTCGGAATCAGATTTTAGAAATTTCAGCATTGATTCATCACTACCTATTTAACAGGAGAATTAATGAAGAAGCATTCCACTTAAATTTTCTTTGCTTGCGCTCCAATATGAATCTATCAGTGGCTGAATTAATAATTCTTCCTTCCATCCTCTCCTTTCTCCGGCAAAATCTAGCTACATCTCGATATTCTTATTATCTCGGTTTTCTATGACTTGGCACTTAATTAATACCCGGATCTATAAGTCAACTTAATTCGCTTCTTGTATATCTAATGGACCTCAAATGCAATCAATTTCCATCATTTCGTTGCCATTCTAGAAACGTTCCTTTCCATGAACTTACAAGTTTCCATTCAACTGTTCGAATTAGCTGAATAATTTTAACAACAGCCAATAGGAAGCAGCGAAATGCTTTGAAGGTGAATTTTTACGAATCCACGTCATTTATTGAGGATATAAACGAGCCAAATATAAGAACTTATGCGCTGAAATATGTTGTAATCGGCATCATTACACTTCTTGTAATATTGAACTAGTGATAAGATAAGAGGTTCGGGATATTAATAATTCAGGTCTTTAAGCAATGTTGGAATTTCGTGCTGGCACCCATTTAATCCGCCAGATAAAACCAAATTACCTTTCAACTCTTTAAGTTTTCTTTGTTCACAATTGATGAGTGATTAATATCTTATCTTCATTTATTGAACACTAATCTTGTTTGTTTTCAATTGGACACAAAGTCTTTCAATTTTTTTCTTCTAGCAATATTTCATTTCGGAAATAATTGTTTGTACAGTTGAGTGCTGTTTACACTGCTTGATGTTTAACAACTTTTTTTTTGAGATAATAGATTATAAATGTGGGTCTACGTGATGGCAATTTACCACTTTCCGCGTGTTGTGTCGAATTTCAATGACGCTCATTTTAAACAGCATTTAACTTCACTTGATAACTCGTTCATTTTATTTATATTTATTAAATCATTACATTCTTTTTCCTCGGTTCTTGTTCCTTCTTGAGGTTCTTGTCTGCTGTCTACACTCCTTTTTCAACATATTTAATTATTTGTTGCTAAATGTTGACCATACAGAATTTTACAAGGTCTTTAATGTTCATCCGTTGAAACCTGATAATTCTCAACTAAACGTTTCAGTGCATTTCACTTCTTTTTGGGGAAGGAAGGAATGGGTTTAAACTTTTTCTTGAAAAATGTATTTGAAAAAGTTATTTGAAAGTTTTTTTATGTTCAATGTTACCATACGAAAAACAATATTTGGAAGCCGAGTTCAAAAGACTTGTCTAGATTTAAAAAAAAAAAGAAAAAATTTAGGCCGTAGTCGTAAATAACTTCTTTCCGACGTTTTGCAAGTACGAGTGCTTTGGATCTTCAGAAGCAGCTTCAGAACTCTTTAGATGAATTTCTGCAAAATAGTATCCAAGGTTTTCCATCTCGTCTGTCTCGATCTCGCTTGGATTGAGCACCAAGACCTCTTTTTAAATCCATCAGATTTTCAAAAATCCAGTTTATAGAACCGTAGAAAAAGTGAAATATCTTCTTTAAATGATGTCTAATCAAACAACTACTTTCGTTCGATGCGTCAAGTTCATAGCCTGTTAATCAATCACTTTGGCAAAGAAATGATTAGCAAATATTTACTATGAGGAAAGTGTTGTCTTATCAGCTGACTAACCAAACTAAGTATTACCAATTTGCCAGTAATGCTTACAATACATTTTCCGAAAATCAACTGTTTCAAACTGCAACACTTCGATGTTCAGCCAGTTGTTAACATTCCGAGTACAATATTTTTTCCTTAAAACGCATAAGTTGTATTACGTGCGTTAGCAATCATTATCTCAATAATAAATATACCACTACTAATTGTTACTATCGGTGAAGTGTGTGAAGGACCGCATATTACACTTAACTGAAAAGCGACACATTTACTTTCGCGGCTTGAAAAATGTAAAGGAAAAACATAAAATTTAATTATGGAAAACAGAAAATTGGCGTCTATTGTTCAGCAAGGACAGTTGTCGGTCATTGGTAAAGAGTGTTTTTTATAAACAATTACATAAATTACGTTTTGAATCTGCCCACATTGGAATTATTCCATATTCACATACCTAATAAACGAATTGTTTGATATTTATTGGCAAAATGCTAGTTCCTTTGATAAAAACCGCTCGGCTTTTTTATCTCTAAATAATTTATTAAACCTAATTGTCCTTTCGCAGTCTTTAAGTATTTGCACTGAGTCTGAGGAGGAATTGATGAAAACAGATTTCTAAATTGAGGAGGATTCTTTGATAGAACCGATGAAATTTGGGTTTGGAACGTCATCTAAACGCAACCTTGGCAAATGATAATCCGTAAAGAGTCCCGTCCCTGTTCACATGCGAGCACACATCTTTAACATCTAATGCAAATATTTTTTTATTTGCCCGATGTAGATCTTCGTATTACAAAGTCCCGACCTTGAATTTGTTCAATTAGCATGCACTTATGTATTTGTTTGTTGTCACTGTTAATTATTCTTCGCGACGATTCTTCTCGTTAACAGTTTGATGGCTGTTACGTTTTTAATAAGGCAACAAATATCAATAACTCATAGGAGGTTTATTGGAATATTAAAGAGTTTATTTGTTAAGGATCGATGGAATGTTGGGCCGCATGATAAATTGGGCGTTCGCTTAATTGATTATTTCTTTTGTCTTTGATGGCAATTTTAGTTCTTCACTTTTATAACTTGTAATTGACATCCTTAACTAGCAGGTCATTCAAATCAAAGAGTCATTAAAAAATTATTGATTTGATAAAACTCGGTTTCTACTAAACTGGAAAAGTAGTTCTATTCATTTAGTATCGTTCCACAAAAGATCCTGATTCAACATATTTCGCTGTGATGGAAAGGGTTTGTTTGTTGCCGCGCCACCTTTGGCAATCGATGGTCTCGAGGGTGGGTTTAGATGGATGCACGCCTTTGCTCACTACAGCGCTTCCGAAGAGGTCTGGTACACAATAGAAGACAAACTTTGTTCAAGTAGAAAAAGGGAGGTTTCAATGTAAAACGATTGTTTTCATATTAATTCCTTATACTTTTTAAGCATATTACCATTGAGCTGAAGGGCAAGTGCGGAAAAAGAGCCCCAGACACATAAATCCCGCATTCATTTATTTTAGTGGGAATCATCCAATTCTTTGAGCCTGCTTGCGGCATTCGGGTCACGTTAGATCGATAATCGCTGAAGATTGGAGAGTACTCCGATAAAAGGCTTCCTTAGTTAAATTAGATGTGGGTAATGATTGAAAAAGTTGTTTGCTCATTACTTCTACGGCTTCGACAAACGTCCGGAATATACCAGGAAGATGGTAAACATCAACGCAATTATAAATTATCCAGAGGATTTTGGGCGAAAAGAAAATATTTTATTGAATCTAGTTAATGTTCAGTTGAAACAAACTCTCGATTGTTCTTCTCCATATGATCAGACTTAAGCAGTAAATAGTTATCTGGTGAACTATACTGACACAAATAACACTTGCAGAACTAACAGATGTCCTTGTTAACGAATAAGTGCAGCGGTTATCAAGAAACTGATTCAGAGCCTTGAGAATAAAGACTACTTTAGCAGGCTAAACATGTCCTAATCGCAGCTAAAATTGGAATAGGATGATTAAGTGGTTGGAAATGCGATGTATATTTGCAGTTTTTAATTAATTTCTGCCGGAAGGTCAATGTAGACGAGTTTTTTCCTCGGTTGGTCCGGTCCAAAAATTGCACCCTCTTTAACATCTCATAGATGTTCTGCACATTTCGCAAAACTTTTTTTGCTCAGTAGAGTTAATACAGAGTGTGGCAAAAAGAACACGCGAACTTTTGGGCTGAAAAGTTTCTTTATGTATAAGTCTGCAATCCCTTTTTTATATAAAGCGACAGAAGTTTTTGATTTAAAGAACGTGCCTTTGAAAGGTTTATGTATTTTTGTACGACTGAGACTTGTTAAGCAAAACTTCAAGAAATGAACATCTGTAATTTTGTAAAGAGGAAAGCGAATGGGTGATTTCCGCGAAAGAGAATTCCTAATAATCGTAGTCTTTCTGATATGAGAGATTTTAAGGCAAAAATCCACGTACGGTTTTAGCCAAAGCCAAAAATTTAGAAAAAAATGTCCAAAAACTGAACACCCTGTATCTCAGTCACGAAAGCCTGAGCGGACCTACGCTCATATGAATTTTTCCCTGTATTATAAGTTGATCGATAATAACCCGAGCGTTTGTGTACGTTTTTTGAAGCAATCTGCCGAATTTTTTGGCGCTTTTCCGTCAAATTGGTGGAATATTTGCTTTTTAAGGAATATTTAAGACTCTGTAAGTGCGTGAATTTAGTTTAATATTTTGATTTTATTGTTTTAGGAACACATTTTTTTGGCAACTGTAATCAGGCTGACCTGAGCATGTTCCTCCCTATATGGTAAGGCCAGATTTTGTTTGTTAAATATATTTTGCAAACAATGTATGTATAATTTCTACACTATTATTCATTTGAAATTAATTTACTGGGAGTTTTGAGCTTTCTCAATATAGAGAGTGGTTTATAAGTGCTAATAGTTAAGGGTGTGCTTAGCTCCAAAATAACTGAAAAAGGTTTTTATTTTTGATACTATTAAGGATGCAGGATGCGGTAACATGATCAAACGTTTTTAAATTAAATGTAGGGTAAATCGGTTTGGTTCTTAACGGCATTTTCTGTTACGGAAAACAGTTCTGGAAGAAATTGCAAACTGAACGTGTTAATTTCTTTCATTTAGTGGCAGGAACTGGGATAAGATAATTACTAAGAATAGCAAAACTGAAATTTAAAGCTTTAAGCGTCACTTTCAGGGAAAACTGAAATTAAAACTGTTTATGAGAAAGAGCCACATTAAAATTACCTTGTACACAGCCCCTAAGTATGAAACAGCCAGTATAAACGGGGAAAAATAATTTATTGGCAATAAGGGTAGTTTTAAAAAAAATAATAATAAAAGTTAATATTTGCGTAAATTATTAAAAAAAAAATAATAGCATGCCACCGTGCATTTCAAATACGAACCCAAAATGAAATGAAACACTTTGTTTTCATTGTATGTGTATGATATTTTCATCTCCGAATTGGGTTTTCCAGCGACCTTTGACTCACCCTGTATATTTCAATAAAATTGATCATAAAGATTCATTTTTTAAATCAAAGAAAAAGATAATGATGAGTGGTCATTGTTCGCACGACAGTGTTCTTGGAAGATAAAAATTTGCCAACACCGTTCCATCACTCATGCTAAATAGATCATCTGCTATCTAGTGAATATCAATATGATAGATGTGTAGTTTTTCGTTCTTAATTAACGGCCAATTATTTGACAAAAAGGACATTTTCCATCCATTATATAGCAGAACATATGAGCAAAACGAACTGTTGTTCGCCGTCATAATGTTACTTAGGCATTTAACGTACCCGAAAATCGCTCGATGGACAGACCAGTCTTACATCAGAAGCGAAACGCAATTGTTAAGGTTGCGAAAAGCTTTCATAAAACTTAATTTTATAAGAACTCTTTTTCGCGTTTGCTGAGAAATTCGAACACATTTTCGTAAAAAGCTGTTTTGTGGCAAGATATTGTTTTGCAACATCAGAAGCGAAATCCAGCTATTGGGCTTCGTTTCCGAAAGGAAAAAACTTGATCTCATGAAGAAAACACTTGAATTTTGCGTCTTACTGCAGATGATTAGGAAATTCGGCACATTTTCGTAAAAAAACTGTTGTAATGCAATAGTTTTTTGCAACGTTAGAAGCGAAACCCAGAAAAACTTCACTTCATGAAAAACACTTTTGCAACTCATTAAGAAATTCGGAAACACACTTTCGTAGGAAAAAACTGTTGCAATGCGTTAGACGGGGAAAAGGTATGAGTGCCATCCTTGGCATTTGCAGAATTGCTTCATTATCCTGGTAGCATGAATTAAAATGGCTGGCAGTTCTTCTGCAATTTGCATTTCTGGTTCCCATCTCGCGATTGCCTTCGGCTCAACAATCGGACAGTTGGTTCTTCTGGTGGCGCTCCATTAGGGAACGATTTCCTGCCCGTGGATCGCGCTGCGGATCCATGATGGGGGCTCCGCCAACGTACAGGCTGGTACAAAGCCGGTGTTAACTCACCCTCGAGACCATCATCGATTGCCTGCTTTCGCTTTGTCAGCGTCCCTGCGACCCCTCGGCGCTTGCCAGGCGGCGAAGAGCAAGAAGGGCGCTGTTAAGGCTGAAGATGGGTCTCGGGGCACTTTGCTGGCCGCCCAGGCAACCGTTCTGTAGTCTGCAGGCGGGCAGTATTCCTTGGGCCGGTCGACGGATAACACGTCTTCCTCTTGGTGTTTGTTTAGTATTTGAAATATGCGCGCGACTTCGACGCCCTGCTGCTGACGCACCACCCGCTCCTGCCAAAGCCCGACGAGGACGACGCGACGTCGTCGTCGAGTTGCGACATCCAGACCAACGATAACGAGGTATATTCAGCGATAATAGAACAAGAGCTTATGTAGTCTAATCATTACTACATCTGCACACAACACGTGGTTAACGATGTGTTGACTCTCCTAGCCCAACCAGCATCGATACTTTTCACCGTTTCACTTGCACCACGTGGTTTCTTTAGGGTGTTTTTCCAGCTTAGAGGAGGGGATGACAACGCTCTTACGACAGCAATCTTTGCCAGAAAGACAATGTCCTCGTTGGGAAAATGTTTTAAATGATTACGCCAGTTTCTTGGAAAGTTTCAATAGTTTCATAATTTGGCCCCAGTCAATGAAGCGTTTCCAATCAGGATTCAACCAAGTGGATTAACCTTTCCTGGATTGCTGCGATTTTTCGACAATTTATACGTTAAATCAACTGTGCCCTTCGGTTAATTTCTGAAAATCGCATGCTACAGCTTGCAAAGTCTGCACATTAGTTCTGATGAAGATCTCAATAGTCCGAAACGTGCCTATTCTTTGCCCGAAGAACATTTTTTTCTGGAAAAATATTTTAAATAATCACGCCCGTTTCTTTGATGAGTTTCAATAGTTTCATGGTTTGGCCCCAATCAATGAAGCGTTTCCAATCAGGATTCAATCAAGTGGATTAACCTTTCCTGGATTGCTGCGATTTTTGAACAATTTATATCTTAAATTGACTTTGATTTTCTGGTAATTTTTGAGAATGTGCTTGAACTCACAAACCATGCACCGTTAACTCTGATGATGATTTAAATAGCCCGAAACCGGCCTACTTAACTGTTAAACGTCGCTCTTTGATAGAATCCAGATGGCAACGTTGAACAAATATACAGGGTGAATCAAAATTTGCCCCCATCTTTTTATGGGGTAATCCCTCAGGAGTAAAAGAAATTACTGCAGATTAACCAAATGCCCTACAGGGTCAATTATTGAAAATAATAATCAGTCTCTTCTTGTTGTCTTTTTCAGTTCACCAGCTCGATTTGAAGAAGCACTTCTTGCACATGAATCACGAACTGGATCATTTAGGGCTTTGCCACTAACATTTCAGTCCCGTTATATGATTTTTGCATTGTTTTTCTGAATCAAACAAGAAACTTGGTGAAAAAAACACCAAAATCATTATTAGTTGCTTATTAGCAAATTTTCTGGCTTGATCTTTTCCTGATCAATTTGTCCCAACAGCAGGTTTATTTTAAATCGTCTTCGGCTACTTTATATAAGTAATATCTTGCAAGAATCCTCCGCTTCTTCAGCAAATATCAATCCCAACAGTCGAAACCTTATCGACCTCTGCAAGATCAAATTCGAATTGACATGTAAGGTACTGGTTTAACCGATAAGATAAGATAAACACTTTTTCTTCGTCATATTTGTCTGATGTTCTTTTATCTGGTTGATGTGCTAGCACGTCTTCGAATTCCATCCGAACAGTCTTCCGCAGTCGTGACAGTGTCTTCAAACCGGTCAGCCAATATGGTGAGTTTCTATGTCTTGATTTATTCCTTCTATTGGCAGTAAAACGCAGTAAACGCCTAGTTTTTTTTCTTCAAATTGTCATCAATAGGATAATCAGGTAATTGTTACTCTTTGTCGTTATGTGCCAACATTTCACAACCTCGTTACAGTTTTCTTCAAGCCTTATCAGAAGATAAGGTAACCCAATTTTGGTATTTCCACATGAGCATGAAGACATACCAGAGTTAATAAGGTATAGTCTGTTCCAAGCTTATTAGCAGTGCCGCAATAATTGTTCTTTGATCAAATTGTTACAATTCGCAGAAGTTGGGAAGAATATTAAAATGACTGATTTAGTTTCTTGGCGAGTGCTGGCCGTTTCTGTGAATTTGTCTGTTATTATTTCAATTTACCGATACATTTTCAATTTGTATGTGTGTTATTTTCGGAAATGAGATGGGATAGAAAATGCCTAAGCAATATTTGAAGGGCAAACAACGGTTAATTTTGCTCAAATTTTTACCATCATTAAGATGTTGTATCGGTTCCTCAATTTTTTCTTCTATTTTCTTCATAATTTGACTGCAAGTTTTCCACCAAAATAACACTTTAACGCTCACAGTTAATTTGAATATTAATTTCAACCCAATTTCAACATGGCGTCTCAAGTAATGACGTCACTGTCAAATAGCTTGGTACGGACTATACATACTTTACGTAGTCGTTAACCTGTTGAACGGCTTTAGTTATTTACGGGAATTCATAAGACACCCTTGACACTTTCTTTAACAGATGCTGAATAAAGTTGGCCTGACTTTGAATTACCCGAGATAAGTAGTCTTTTGTTGTCTTCCCTCTTGGTTAGTTTTAAATGCAACTGTCTTATCTACCCAAAATTATCGCATGTATTTGTGCTAAATACATGCATGTGTTGCAATTTGGGAAGGAAGTTGGTTTATGGACAGTAAGCTAGGCGTTTGATTGTAAGTCCAAAGTACCATTTAGATCGGTCACTTTGGATAAGAATATTGTTTTATTAGGATATTGTTTAATTTTTTAAAGTTTTGTTGGTGTTTTTGTTTTGGTTTTGGAAACAATGTTGGGATTAATCTAGATTTGTGAAGTTATAGATGATTTTTCCTTTGGGTCCGCTTTCTATCCATATTCAAAATGTATTTATCGTGTTTCTTTTCAAAACTGAATCAAGTTTTAAAGTAAATCTTTAACAGTTTTATACTTTTTACTTAGTTTTGCGTACTTCAACTTGAACTTTGTTGAAAAAGTTGCATAAAATGCTGAAAACTGTGACTTTGACTACGTACTATTGAACAAGTAAAGCAAATAAAGCACGAACTAAAGCAATTGCATAATCCCATGGCAGAGTGGATCGCTGATGCTTTTTGCCTGCCCATCCTCGTTCTGCTGCCTCGTTCCCGTGTCATTGTCGGTTCGAAATTCTTTTCCGCCTACGAGGTTCATTTTTAG